AATTTGGCCATACGAAGCATACATACATACATGACATGACATGCCATGCCATGACATGCCATCACATAACATTGCATAGCATTACATTTCATTAAAATGCATCACACTGCATACATACATAGTTGAATATAAATACACAAATATAATACAAATATAAACATATAATAACATATAAACATATGCAACTATGTGTGGTTGAAAGGCTTGACATTTGTCCAGTGTCTCAACGCACACTTGACATTTCGTGCCTTGGGAAGTCCACACAAGCGTCGCACAAAGTTCAGGTAGTTGAGGCTTGCAGTGATTTCCTGCCCCATGGAACCAGGAGTTCAAGCTGCTCTACTGGAGCAAGCTTTGCAGCCACAAAGCAGATTGCACCAAATCCATACAAATCCGTACAAATCCCAGCATCTTGAATCTGATATTTTTTACATTTTGCAATCTGTCTTTCATCACTTTCATCTGATTCGTAATGCACTATGAGTCCATCTGCCCCAGTCTATGCTTATGTGAAGCTGCAGCCAAGCCACGGCTGAATGCGCAGCTGTTTCCAAGCTTTCCTGCAACAGCAATGATTTCCGGTAAGTTTGAACTGCATTGATAATCAAAATATCAAAGAACATACAGTTCAATAGCCACTCTTGAGAGATCAGCAATTAACATGTGCAATTCAATAATTTAATCAGTTCTGAACACTCGTAGCGTCTTTTCCATGCATACTTTTATGAAACTGACTTGCGTAAGGATGATGCTGATGACTTATCATCGTTGACACTCTTCTAAATCTATTTTGCCTCTGCACTGGCACCTGTATTTACATTATCTACTAATCTCTTGGTGTTTCAAGGATTGCATTTAAACATCCAGCATAGCCAAGAACGGACCACAATGCTGTTCAACTAAGTCCAATTTCGTTCTGATCAACTATGGATGTGCCCACAGCCAGGTCCATTTATAATATTTATAAAGGATGATCGAAAGTGGTACCGGTATTCGAACAAATCAGAGTCCCCGCGCCCGGGAATCAGTTCCCAGAATGTCAGACCTAAGTGGATGAAGCAAGAAATGGGTATGGATCAATACCTATTAATACCATTTTTAGGGGGATGAACATCCATTTACCAGCTATTTTGATGTTCACCAGGGGTACAAGGTTTTGACACACTGCCAAATTGCCTTTCACGGCAACATGACACCTTGCAGTGGCCTAGCTCTCTCTGTTTTAATGCAAAGCTTCTGCATGAGTTAGGCATAAGGTTGTCTCCACCCTCGACGCCGAGTCAAACAGAGGATATCAGGCTACAGAAAGCCCGCTTGTCACCACTGCTCAAGAAAAACGGCTCCTAGTTTTTTTCTTTCAATGTTTACATCTTTCATGTCTGAGTTTCAGGCTCACGTATTCCGCTCGTAATCTGTGCATCCTGCGCAGGAAAGATGTTGGGGGAGCCGTTAAAATCTTAAGCAAACCCTCAGTGAATGCCTCAACAATCTTTCAACACTTCAAACCTTTTGCACATTTACACATACAACATCATCTAACATCCACATGTAAAATCATCTGTGCCTTTCACTTGATTGTACTCCGCTTTTGTTGTAGCAGCTCCGCCCGTGTTGACCAACGTCTTTCCAATCTTTGCAGTACAGCATCATGACCGTCGTGACCCTTCGGCTTTCCAATCTTTTGGCTTTTGCGATTCTTCGGGTACTCTTCAGCCATGGATTCGTGGCCCACAGTTCCGAAACCAACGAGGTTTGTTTTGGAAAAACACTCACTTTTACACCGCCGCAAACAGCCGGCAAAAACACGTTTGTTTCAACATGTTTCAACCCATGGCAGCCTCCCACAAAGTCTGTAGTATTGTTGCCTGTGCTGCAAAGAATCATTCCAGAATCAATGGATAAACATGAACTCACACTTTGGGTGCAGGAGCGCACAAGTCAGTGCTGACTTTGAAAGCCGAGATTATATAAACTAGTTGGTTACCAAATTTGCGATTGACAGACTGCAATCAGGCAACCTTCTCCTTGCAGAGGGCAAGGGTATCTGGCTGTCACCATCGAAGATTTCTATCATTAAGATTCATTAAGTACATTTAAATAGCAATTTCAAGAAGCTCCATGAGAGGCAAGCATTCCTCGCCACACATGATGAATCTGCCTCATGATCAATGATGCGTATTTCACGCACTTCCTAATGAGTAGAGATACTCATAGATACTTTATCTATCTTTATCTTGCATTTCCTGATCGATTTTCAAACCATCTCGAGGCATGAACCAGAAAGCTCGAATGGCATATTACCCTCTGGTAATTTAACGTAGCTATGGAAAATCACCATTTTTAATGGGACAATCCACTATAAATGGCCATTTTCAATAGCTATGTTAAATTACCAGAGGGTAGGTCCTAACATGTCCCAGGCTGTAACTATTCGGCTTGATCCCAGCTGTTTTTATGTTCGCCCACCTGGCGGTTGATCTCCGGCTCAGGCTCCGGCTCAGGCCTCAAGGGACGACCAAAAAACAAAACAACAAAGGCGGGCTGGAAATCAAAGCGCGCTGGCGTCCAGAGGCCCGGATTCGGTATACACAGTATACATATATATATATATATGTATGTATATATATATATGTATATATATATATGTATATATGTATATATATATATATATGTATATATATATATATGTATATATATATATATACACACATATCAAATATCATCAAATCACATCAAACATGTGAAAATGTCGAAAAACACGTCAAAAGACACACCTGCCAGAAACAGGCTGCATTTTGGGGCTCGCAAGGTCTCAGATACTGTTGTACTCGTACTGTTGTCTACGTATGTGTTTCTTAAAATAGATGAATGTGTATCATGGATATCATAACCGCTACATCAAACCCGCTACCCAATCTGTGACTTCTCTAGCTGCGTGGCTCTTCCAACTCCGGCAACCTGAAGGAATGTGTTGCCGGGCTGATGCCCAAATGCATCCAAAGGAGGGACCCAAAACAATTTGCGAGGATGTTGCCATTTCCACATGTCAATCAAGTCATAATGCTGTGTGGACAGACTTGCCACAAAATGAGGACATGTAAGATGTCTTCAACTACAAGACTCTAACTGCTTAACTCAAAGTATTCAAAGCAAGGTTTTCTGCGAGGCTTTGTGGGCACGGTCTTAGCTGCAGGTTTTGTTTCAGCTACACATTCCTGGTTCTAACTCTCAGCATACGTTGTGGGCATCAAACCTTTGGCAAAAGTGCTTTTAGCCTGGGTGGAGCTATTAGTTCTCTGAGTGCCACATCAGTCACATGCTCTGGGATCATCACACATTCCACTTGCAGGCTTCTGCCTGTGCTTCCTGGCGAGGCAAAAATGGCAAAATAGAATCGAATTGAAGGGAGATGAAGGGAGTATGACATGACGAGGTTGCCAGCTAATCGCAGTGACCTTCAATACAAAGAGGACACCTCACTTAGAAACAGCGAGTGTAGCAGATCTGCAACCCTCCTTGCCTTGATCTCCTCTATGCTCCATCGAAAGCTTCGTCTCACGCTGTCCTGCCGCACCTGTCATTGCAAGCTGTTCGAAAATAGGCTTTGCAGAAACACGACAATACAGCACCATACAGCACCTATTTTGCTTCTTTGCTTCAAACATTCCAGGGACAAATGCCCATGCTTGCAATGTAGCTGTGGCTGTTGGATGCTGCTGGATGCTGTCTCGGCTGGCCTGGGATGGGGTTGGCGGTGTTGCAAAAGATCGCTCCTGGCTTCACATGGCGACCCTTGATTTCGGCGCACCTTTCGCAGCCCCATACTCCGGTCACCCCAAAGATAAGTTCTTCTCCAACTTGTCGGAGCATTTCCAAATTTGACACTCCCAACAGCGGAACCTACCTGATGACTTACTGATAACTGACAACTAAGATTAAGTAAAATATGTGAAACACAGTAAAATTGACTAGTCTTGCCAAGCACTTTGCCGTGTCCACCCACCCAAAGGTAATATGACCGAACCCCAACGAGACTAGCGCTCTCTCAATAGTTGCCTCCCAGATTCCATTCTGAAATTCCAGCCTGCTCCTTTGGCAAGGGTGTCCATGCCTGCTGTGCCAGTCTTCGATTGAGCAAAATGCATAGCAAGTTGCAAATGTGAGATGCGAATGCAAGATGACTCAACAAGTTTAAATGTTAAAATAAAGTTTAAATGTAACCCCCCTAGAAACATAGATAGTTCGCCCTGTGGTCAGCCAAAGTCCCTCCAAAGCTCCTTCCCGCATGCACACATTCTGCTGACGGCCTGCTCATCGATTGGAGTTGCTGTTGGAGTCTTGAGTGGGCTCGCCTGACATCCCGTGAGCCCCCGACGAAAAACCATGGCTGACCTGTGCTGCCTCAAAATCGGTCCTGAATTTAGATGAACATGAAACATGCTCGTTTAAATTCATTTGATCCATTTTGAATCATTTTGATATTTTCGATCCATTTTGATCCCGTGTCCAATCGTGACTGCATCAATGCTGCGCAGGCAACTGAGGCATGCTCAGCATGCGGGAAAAGCGTACCTTAGTCCAGGACGAACCGGGACGAACCGGGAAACCCTTTCCCTACCGGTGAAAATGAGCTGCTAATTGCTTGCTGCATGCCTCCGCTACGTTCCGTAAAGAGTCCTTCAATATACAACGTCCAAAACGAAGCCTAGACACCATCGGCTGTCGGCAAGCGGAACTCAGGATCTCCAGTGGCCTTCAACTCCTATGACAGCGAAGCACTCAAATGACCAGCGTTTGAGCAAATGGCAACCTGAACTGAACGAACAACATGTTTGGATAATTTTAGATACATCTAGATACATTCTATGATATTATACATACATTTAGGATCATTTGCCTTCATTCTGTAGGGAGAGGGTCTTAAAGAAGGGCATCTTAGAGTGATTAGAATGATTAGAGAGCTCTGCATGCTGCAAACAATTAGAGTACAAGTATCACACATCGACAGCAACCATTGCAGGAGGAAACCAATCTACTTCCAACAGTGTGATTATGCAAAGACGTTGCGGAAAAACCTGGCCTCAACTCTGAAGAAAACTGCTGCGTGAACACAACACTTCATCTTGGAAATAGTTTGATCATGTAGAAAAAAATGTAGAAGCATGATTATATAATAGAATATCCTTGTTGTATGGCAAAGATCACCTTTGAGCCACGAGATCAGGAACTTTTCGGTTCAGCTATCCTGTAGGGCTCGCTCTCCATCGTCCCTCTCCAATGGTGGAGGAGGTGCCTCTGCGATTGTCTTGACAAGCTACGCACGCTACATAGTGCGGTTGGTTGAACAAATCCTGGCAGATCCTGTTGATGGAAACCTCAAGTCAAACATGGCAAAAAGAACCACGCATACACATACAGTATAAACAATATTAAACAATCATAAACAGACTCGATATCTCTCAATATAGCTCGATAGGATCCGATAGGACTCAATCGTCTCAATCACCAAGCTTTTAGGTTTTGGTGTCCCATCCGTCATCCAGATGCTGGCCTTGCGCTCTCTCATGAGACCTTTGAGTATACCATCCCTGTCACATCTGTCACCGAAACGCTCGGGTTTGAACGGCAGAATTCGACAAATCTCAAGGCAGTCCTCTAAAATAAGGCTGGCACTTTAGCAACTGCCCCTTCAGATCCCTTCAGTAATTGTAATCAAAAGAGATGATCTTGATCATACAGACTGTCCAAAAATGTCCGACTCTTTGCACATCACTCAGATGTTGACCACTTCCAATTGCAACGTCTCTGGCAACGGTAAAGTGATGTAAAGTGTACAGCGGCAGAACTTGCTCCAAAGATTTGCGTTTCTTGGCCTCCTTGTCTCCCGAGCACTCAGCAAAACCACTAGACCTTGCAAATGGGAAAATGACTTCGCAGCTGCTCTAAAGTGACAAACGTAAAAAGTAAAAAGGTTTGTTTTGCTCACTCCACCTCAACCTCTACCTCTATCCCTATCCCTGTCCATCTGTGCACTGAGTAACAAATCTATCGATCAATCTCTCACCCCTGCTCTTTTCGCCCTCTTGTTTCTTTCCCCCTCTCTTGCTCTCTGCAATATCATGTCACACGACAGTATTTCGTTACTTCCTTCAAGATCTTGGTGCAAGGGGCATCTACTCTTCTGGAAGCTGTTCATCCTATGACGGGTTTGCCTAGATCAGTTCTGCGCGTGTCATGAATCATGAGATCATGTTGTTCATCACTTCGAGGGTTTTAGGAATCATGCAAGTCTTTGAAAGTGGTGGGAGAATCACAAGACAAACTGAATAAGTCTTGCACTAGAAGATGCAGTATCTGTGAGTCTCAACGACCCCAGATTTGCCAGTCGTCTTGCAGAGAGCGCTGGTGTGGTCGGCAATGTGAACTGTTCAGCTTTGCGATTCGGTGGTTTCAACCTGGCGACCGCTTGGCTGTTCAAAACCTACGCCCTACGAGTAGACTCCAACAGCACGTTCGCATTCTTGCAAAAATCCATCCCAATGCTCTATCAAGGCAAGCGCGCATGAGGAACTTGGAGTCCAACAAACTAGGGAGGTGAAAGACTGGAACAATTGCATTGAAGGGAAGTTACGCAGTTGATCGCAGTTGTATTCTTGAACAGGAAGTCCTTCATCTCTTTGATTTCCCGGTCACTATTTCCGGCGTTGCTGTACCTCTTGGCTGCGCTCTCTTGAGACACCAAGACCTGCGCAAACATGCAGCACGTTTCAACGGAGGTTTGCACTTGTGACTGCAGTTCCGAGTTGTTCATACATCACATTTCAATCCTTCTGCTACAATAATCCAAGCTATTTATTGCCCAACCTTAGCGCTTTAGTTGATTCTTTTGTACAAGCCCCAAAGACTACGGGTTTTGAGCTTTGACTTTATGTCCCTATGGTCTATGGTATCATATAGTTCATACGTGTCTTGGCTGTGCCATGCCTTGTGGCTCAAATGGGAGGTCGGCCCTGTTCGTGGCAAGGCCAACAATGTGTCTGGCAAATTCCTGGCGTGTGAATTCTCCACGACCAAAGTCTGGAACTTCAATTTCCACATAGCCAGGTCCCATGGGTGTACCAGGTATCTTCTGGTCAACGCCTACAGCTTTGACATGCTTTGACTATATATGTATATAATTGTACATATATGTATATATATATACATAATTATATAATAATATACATAATTATATAATAATAATAATAATCATAATAATAATCATAATAATAATAATAAAAATAATAATAATGATAATATATATATATATGTATACTCGCACTGTGAGCGGGTGCGTCACTGACATTTTTACTTCATCTCTACCAGCAAAGTCATGCAAACGGTCAATTCATCGTTGGACATCCTTGATTTCTACATTCATACACGAAAGTGTACAATCATCTATTTTGGTATAATATACACAAGGCATATTACACACCACTGCACTGCTAGGTATATATGCCACATGATGTTCTATGTACTTATGAACACATACCGTATTCTTTTATTATGATATGATATATATGTTATATCTATAGAATGTTTTTCGTCGAAGTGAATAGAGGTTGAAAAGATTTGAAGAGTTCGTGTCCCACCAACATTTGCAGTTCTGAGAGCCCCAACGGGAAAGCCAGTCGCGGCCGTGCGCTAGTCACGTCGGTAGAACGCCTATGACGCTGGGGCCAGTCATGCTGGTGACAGTTGCAGTGTCAACCATCTGGTTCCAGTTAGGGCCTGGGAGTCATCCCCAAACCTACCACAAATCCACAATAGCACACATAGCACACGAGATCAATAGATGTCACTAGGTCACTAGGACAGTGATGATGCTAGTTTTTGTGGACCATACACGTTTTAAGTGCTGTTGGGTGTCAGCCTGAAGAGTGACCTCTCTGAAGAGTTGAACGCATCTAATTTGTGCTGCTGCATTTCCCTATCGTTGAACGGCATTCCCTTCCCTATCGTTGAACGGCATTTCAGTGCGACTACAAAGAGATGCCGAAACAATGCATCCACCTATCAGACCTATCATCCTTCCTTATAGAAATGCAACATGTTGGCCAAGAGCGAATGCCGTGCCTGTCAGCTTTTACTTCCATTCGCTTCTAGCTTTGCATCAGCCTCGGCGGCGAGGCTGAAATGTAGGGCTTCTGTCTGTGTTCCTCTCCCACGCCTCCAAGCCAATTGGCATTGGGATTCAGCTGGAAGTGCCATGATGGTCTAAAATGGTCTAAAGACTTCATACCATTTCATACCCATAGCTCTAAGGCTTTGAGGGAAGCGGTGAGTTGCAGTGACCATGGTGACGGTAGTAGTACGGTAGTGATCAAATACATCCAAATACTACTCCTTGTTACGTCCTTGCAATCTTAGAAGTTTTGTTCATACCACCGCATGCCGGGTGTATGATCTATGATCTAAAACAGCTGCGGGAGGGCGCGTGCAGCGCAAAGCTGTGTCAAGCACCCAAAGTTGTCGAGCTCTTCTTGAGGGTTGGGACTTGAAAGCTAAAAAGAGATCCAATAAATGGAGAGAAACAAATGAAACAAATACCATGAGTTGCATGGACCATCATGGACCCTTAGCTGGCGAGCAAGTATCCAAGCTTTGGTGCTGGGCTAGCTTCCAATACATTCATTTTGCCCATTGACTCATGCACTGCCAAACTTCGGTTGGATCTCAACTTTACCATTCTTCACATTTCTTCCGGGCTCGAAGTGCCCTGTAAATAGCTGGCATGGTGTCACCGTGTCACTGTGCTGGCTTGCGTGCAATATGATGACCCCGGCCTTGAGAAGGCTTTTTTGAACGTTCAAACCATCGACAACAATGTGCACCAAGAACAACGCACTGGCAAAGATTCTGCCGGCAAGGTCCTGCTTGAGAATCAACAAATTGCCAATACATCTCCATTCTGCCCTTGAATCATCGTGAATCTATCTGTTCTGTTGAGTGTTTGGTAGAAAGATCTTTCCAGCGAACGTGATGTAAGCTTGGCCTCCATCACTGATCATGCAAGCAACTTGGTACGACCTAGTCAGCATTCTGCCTGGGGATGTTGTGTCAGAAGGCTCTGTAGCAGGCTACCAGCAGCCAATAACGCCTTCCGGCACCAACATGTTTTCATGCCGGTTGAGCCATACGCTTATCCATACTAAATATACTAAGCGTTCTGGGGAAAAGATTGAAATCTATCTCTTGATTTTTTTTTACTTTCAAGACTTTCAGAGCTTTCATAGAGCTTTCTTTGCTGGTAGCCCTAGTCAGACCCATCGCGCCCTTAGGACGACGTGTGGGCATCCTGAAACTGCCATGGCTGTGCGACGACTGGAAACATGATCAGGCCCAAGGCCGGATCGCATTGCCGTGTGCACCAACCATTGACCCCCCGCAGAGTTGTAGCTTCCGTAGATATCTGATGAATATCTGATGATTGTGTGGTGTTCTGAATGTGTTCTGAATGTGTTCTGTCTCTTTGGATCTTCTTTGTTCCTTCGTTTTTCTCTTTCGCAAATTGTTCTTGTTCCAAAGAACTTCTTCGAGAACGCTGGCACTCAAAACATCTCCAAACTCTCTTGCGCAGGTGGCTTCCTATGGCTGAAACTCTGCGGCTGGTTTTGACATCACCAAGTTGCGGAGCGACTGTACAGAATGCAAAATGCCACATTTCTTTTGGACATGCATGTGGGTGACGTTTTTGGAGTGACGACCATCTCGAAGTGATGAACATGTATGAACTGAGACAGTCGTAGGCTATGGTTTTGCCAGAATTTATATATGGAGTTGTCCTAAATCTTCTGCTCAGTTTTCAGAGATGTTACTTTGTGATGTGTGGATTCGAACACTGCGAACGGCCTTCAACAAGGCTCACGGCCCATGCCATTTACAGTAGAGACATGTAGAGACATTTTTCACACACACATGCACAGACGGAGTGCCCGTTGGATGTCCGCATATCACACATCAAACAAACATTTTTTTTCAGAACGGTACAAACTTGAACAAATTGAACCCTAGCCATTGTGGCGAAAGTGCCTCCCTCAAAAAAACAAGCATGTCCAATCTGTGGGACATCCTCCAGCCTTCCCTGGAATGAACGGTTGCCTGATAGCTTATGGAGCTTCCAGAGAAGGATGAAGCATTCATTGTGCTAAAGACGTTCCGTGGGGAAAAGAACATGGAAGGCCATGTTGTATTCCATCTACAGCTGTTCACATGACAGTTTGTGAGGTGCAAATGTGGTACGGCTCCAAAAATACTTTGATGTTTCTATGATGCCTGGTGAAAACTCCATACTGGATTCATCCGAAAAAAGGAACACCTTCATGACTAGTGGAACAGATCCATTCTGGAGACACACATATAATATCATATAATACTGTATGTATATACTGTATATATATATATATGATTATATATATATATATATATTCATCATGCGGCACATGATATCACATGAAGTGCCTACAAAGAAGTGACACATCGCAACAAAAACAGCTTGAACATGCCAAGTAGGCAAGGATGTCAGCTATGGTAAGTTCAAGCAATGGTAGTGGAGCCAGGGCAGTCAGGTTCATTCTGCCAAGTAAAAAGATTAAAAAGGGTGAGCATGGCATAGCAGCGCATAGCATGGCCATCCAAATTTAGGCCCTTCTCCCCAGTCGTTTCGGCTAAACAAGAGGGCGTGGCCACGGCCCGGCCTTGGTTCAGGTGCCGTAGGATCCCCTGCGTGCCTCAAGGTACAGATTCTGAGCGAAGCAAGCAGCAAATGCTGCAAGATCTGAAAGTCAACAGGAACTTAGCTACTGTGATGATGGAATCTAGCTTCAACGTGTCTCAGCACGGCGCCTCAAAAGTTCTAGAAGTGACTGCAATGATTGCATCGACAGAATACATTGAAAGCAACCAACTTCTCCAGGTATCTATATATTTTCAAAAGGACACGCAAACGCAAACACACAGCACACCCAAACGTGAAGCAGTGATGCCTTGGAAACATTGGAAACTGCCAGCCTACAGTTGACAACTATTGTCTGTACTTTCTCAACGAGTCTCCAAAGTGCTGCTAGGCCACTCCCGATTCTCTGACGCCCTCATAGCTGCTTGTGCGCCATTGAAGACGGCATACCTTGGGGAGCGAGACCATGCTGAAACAACCCATCGATCCAAAATTTGACAGCCTGAAATGCTGGGCCGGAAAAGGTCACACGACGGTGTCAGGCGGGTGTCGGGAATGTCGCTACTCTATGATCTGTACTCTCCAGTTCCACCCAGTTCCCATGCTTGCCCAGATCGGTACCTCGTGGGCGTTTGCAACTTGAGGCCTTGGATGCCATGCGATGTCATGCGATGCCATGAGTTTTTGCTGACCGCCAGAGTTCTGCTGAGCCGCGGACTTCAAACACTTCGGCCTTTCTTGTTGAAGGCTCTACGATAATGCGGACCTCAAGTGCTAGAATGAACCAGTATGTATGCTTGCTGCACACTTGGTCGATTAGGAAGTTGGACATCCTGGGAATCCTGTCCAATCAGCATCGAGCCAATGGAATGAAAGGACGGTCAGATTTCTCAACATAAAACGTTGTTAGTATTCTTCTCTGCATTTGCTTCTGAGCAACTACAGTGGTCAATGACAAAAACTTCAGAACGCCATACAACTCAAAAGGACTCCACTTAGCAGGAAGTAGAGACAGATAAAGTGCATAGAACAGTAATTCATTGAACATCTTGAAACTTTAAAATAAAATTTCTCAACTTCATTGCAAAAACTCGACTCCTGCACGGTCTCAGTATGTCTTAGTCTGAGCCGGTGGCTGGCTGCACAAATGGCCTTAATCAACTAGGCAAACAAAGATGGGTGATGATGGGTGCTCATCTCTTCCGCCGAACAGATTCTCTTTTCTTCAACACGGAAACGTACAGTAGTGCTTGTGCCTTTCAGAGCACCTTGTAATCTGGGACTCAGAATAGAACGCCCTTCTGCAGCTGTGCATTTCAAAACCCTTCACTCATCTCTTCCCAGTGCACTTCTGGGTCCCATCGGGTCCCCAACCATCCTCGCCAGAGGATAATGCTCTGAAGCTGCAACGAGTTTCCTCCCCCATTCTGTCCATGGATTCCATGGATTCCATTGGAGTTTCGCGCTGGGAGCATCCAAAAGGATCCAAAAGGGTAAACAAAAACATCCTGATTAGTCAAAGGAAGTTTAGTGGGAGAAACTTCCGTGTTACGGACTTTTAGAATGTCAGGGAAAGAGTTAGTCAAAGAAAGAGTTAGTCAAAGAAAGAGTTAGTCAAAGAAACAGTTAGTCAAAGAAAGAGTTAGTCAAAGAAACAGTTAGTCAAAGAAAGAGTTAGTCAAAGAAAGAGTTAGTCAAAGAAACAGTTAGTCAAAGAAAGAGTTAGTCAAAGAAAGAGTTAGTTAAAGAAACAGTTAGTCAAAGAAAGAGTTCGTCAAAGAAAGAGTTCGTCAAAGAAACAGTTAGTCAAAGAAACAGTTAGTCAAAGAAACAGTTAGTCAAAGAAAGAGTTCGTCAAAGAAAGAGTTCGTCAAAGAAAGAGTTAGTCAAAGAAAGAGTTAGTCAAAGAAAGAGTTAGTCAAAGAAACAGTTAGTCAAACAGAGAGTTAGTCAAAGAAAGAGTTAGTCAAAGAAACAGTTAGTCAAAGAAAGAGTTAGTCAAAGAAAGAGTTAGTCAAAGAAAGAGTTAGTCAAAGAAACAGTTAGTCAAAGAAACAGTTAGTCAAAGAAAGAGTTAGTAAAAGAAAGAGTCAGTCAAAGCAACAGTTAGTCAAAGAAACAGTTAGTTAAAGAAAGAGTTAGTCAAAGAAAGAGTTAGTCAAAGAAAGAGTTAGTCAAAGAAAGAGTTAGTCAAAGAAAGAGTTAGTCAAAGAAAAAGTTAGTCAAAGAAAGAGTTAGTCAAAGAAAGAGTTAGTCAAAGACAGAGTTAGTCAGGATATATGAGGTAGTCAAAGAAAGAGTTAGCAAAGAAAGAGTTCGTCAGGGAAAGAGTTAGTCAAAGAAAGAGTTAGTTAGGGCATTGATTGTTCCCGCAATGCCAATGGGATTGCAAGTGGTGCTGGTGGATGAGTTGCCGATGGAGTTTTGAAGGAAGTCTCGCACGAAATGCGTTTTTGAGAGATAGCAGATGCACGAAAGCCTATGTTTTTCCATACAAAGTCCGTCCCCGAACCTCGATGACCTACCTCTGCGGTGCGACGGGTGCGAGACGGTCTCGTGTGTGGTCGGATCATGGTCGGATATGCTCGGATCATGGTCGGATCATGGTCGGATCGGTTCCGCATTGTAAATGGGGTTTCAACTGTTTTTTCGTGCATGTGTGGTCGACAGAATTCCATTGTGATTTGCAACTGTAGGATCGTTCCCGCATTGTAAATGGGGTTGCAAGTGGTGCTGGTGGATGAGTTGCCGATGGAATTCCATTGTGATTTGCAACTCTAGAATCGTTCCCTCACTGTAAATGGGATTGCAAGTGGTGCTGGTGGAGGAGTTGCCGATGGAGTTTTGGAGGAAGTCTCGCACGAAATGCGTTTTTGAGAGATAGCAGATGCACGAAACCCGATGTTTTTCCATACAAAGTCCGTCCCCGAACCTCGATGATCTACCTCTGCGGTGCGACGGGTGCGAGACGGTCTCGTGTGTGGTCGGATCATGCTCGGATCATTCTCGGGTCGGTTCCGCATTGTAAATGGGGTTTCAACTGTTTTTCGTGCATGGGTGGTCGACAGAATTCCATTGTGATTTGCAACTGTAGGATCGTTCCCGCAATGTAAATGGGGTTGCAAGTGGTGCTGGTGGATGAGTTGCCGATGGAATTCCATTGTGATTTGCAACTCTAGGATCGTTCCCTCACTGTAAATGGGATTGCAAGTGGTGCTGGTGGAGGAGTTGCCGATGGAGTTTTGGAGGACGTCTCGCACGAAATGCGTTTTTGAGAGATAGCAGATGCACGAAAGCCAATGTTTTTCCATACAAAGTCCGTCCCCGAACGTCGATGATCTACCTCTGCGGTGCGACGGTTGCGAGACGGTCTCGTGTGTGGTCGGATCATGGGCGGATTGGTCTCGGATTGGTCTCGGATCGGTTCCGCATTGCAAATGGGGTTTCAACTGTTTTTCGTGCATGTGTGGTCGACAGAATTCCATTGTGATTTGCAACTGTCGGATCGTTCCCGCATTGTAAATGGGATGCAAGTGGTGCTGGTGGATGAGTTGCTGATGGAATTGCATTGTGATTTGCAACTCTAGGATCGTTCCCTCACTGTAAATGGGATTGCAAGTGGTGCTGGTGGATGAGTTGCCGATGGAATTCCATTGTGATTTGCAAGTCTAGGATCGTTCCCTCCCTGTAAATGGTTACGTCAAGGTTCCTTCGTGCTGTGGCTGCATTGGTAATACTATTGTCTTTTGCAGCTGGACTTCGTAAATCGTATTGGAATGGCTGCATGAAGGCTGCCACAGTGATTTGTTGGCAGATTTTCTCCATTTTGGCGCTAGTGAATTTCCTTCTAAAAATTCTTTTAAAAAGTGCTTCAAAATCGTCTTTTTTTCGCTCTGGCGTCGAGATCCGGTTTTGGAGCTACAATTTCCGACGCCGTTGTGCGTAGTTCTATTGTGTTTTGCAACTCAGTCTCTGCAGATCGCATTGTGTCAAGGTTGCTTCGTGCTGTGGCTGCATTGGTAATACTATTGTCTTTTGCAGCTGGACTTCGTAAATCGTATTGGAATGGCTGCATGAAGGCTGCGACAGTGATTTGTTGGCAGATTTTCTCCATTTTGGCGCTAGTGATTTTCCTTCTAAAAATCCTTTTAAAAAGTGCTTCAAAATCGTCTTTTTTTCGCTCTGGCGTCGAGATCCATCCGGTTTTGGAGCTGCAATTTCCGACGCCGTTGCGCGTAGTTCTATTGTGCTTTGCAACTCAGTCTCTGCAGATCGCATTGTAATGGCTGCGTCAAGGTTGCTTCTTGCCACGGCTGCATGAATAATACTATTGTCTTTTGCAGCTGGACTTCGTAAATCGTATTGGAGTGGCTGCATGAAGGCTGCGACATTGATTTGTCAGCAGATTTTCTCCATTTTGGCGCCAGTGATTTTCTTTTTAAAAATTCTTTTAAAAAGTGCTTCAAAATCATCTTTTTTTCGCTCTGGCGTCGAGATCCATCCGGTTTTGGAGCTACAATTTCCGACGCCGTTGTGCGTAGTTCTATTGTGTTTTGCAACTCAGTCTCTGCAGATCGCATTGTAATGGCTGCGTCAAGGTTGCTTGGTGCCGCGGCTGCATGCGCAATACTATTGTCTTTTGCAACTGGACTTCGTAAATCGTATTGGAGTAGGTGCATCAAGGGTTCGACAGTGATTAGTAGTAGTGCTGGGAATTGATTAATGAAAGCTTAATAGATGACATATGAGAAGGGACGAAATGAGAAGAGATGAGCTGGGATAAGGTGAGAAGAGCTCAGATGAGATGAACTGTGGAGTGTGAAGAGTGTAGTGTGAAATGTGGGGCGTGAAGAGTGCAGTGTGAAGTGTGAAGTGTGAAGTGTGAAGTTTGGAGTGTGAAGGAAGCAGTGAGAAGTGAGAAGTGTGGACTGTGAAGTGTGGAGTGTGAAGTTTGGAGTGCAAAGGGTGCAGTGTGAAGTGTGGAGTGTGAAGAGTGCAGTGTGAAGTGTACAGTGTGAAGGAAGCAGTGGGAAGTGAGAAGTGTGAAGTGTGGAGTGTGAAGTTTAAGTTTGGAGTGCGAAGAGTGAGTGTGAAGTGTGAAGTGTGAGGTTTGGAGTGTGAAAGCAGCAGTGAGAAGTGAGAAGTGTGAAGTGTGGACTGTGAAGTGTGGAGTGTGAAGTGCGAAGTGAGAAGTGTGAAGTTTGGAGTGTGAAAGAAGCAGTGAGAAGTGTGAAGTGCGAAGTGAGAAGTGTGAAGTGTGAAGTTTGGAGTGTGAAGTTTGGAGTGGGAAGGAAGCAGTGAGAAGTGAGAAGTGTGAAGTGTGGACTGTGAAGTGTGGAGTGTGAAGTGCGAAGTGAGAAGGGTGAAGTTTGGAGTGTGAAGGAAGCAGTGAGAAGTGAGAAGTGTGAAGTGAGAAGTGTGAAGTGTGGACTGTGCAGTGTGGAGTGCGAAGAGCGCAGTGTGAAGTGTGAAGTGTGAAGTGTGAAGTGTGAGGTTTGGAGTGTGAAGGAAGCAGTGAGAAGTGTGAAGTGTGGACTGTGAAGTGTGAAGTGTGAGTGAAGTGTGGAGTGTGAAGTGCGAAGTGAGAAGTGTGAAGTTTGGAGTGTGAAGGAAGCAGTGAGAAGTGAGAAGTGTGAAGTGAGAAGCGTGAAGTGTGGACTGTGAAGTGTGGAGTGTGAAGTGCGAAGTGAGAAGTGTGAAGTGTGAAGTTTGGAGTGTGAAGGAAGCAGTGAGAAGTGAGAAGTGTGAAATGTGGAGTGTGAAGTGTGAAGTGTGAAGTTTGGAGTGTGAAGGAAGCAGTGAGAAGTGAGAAGTGAGAAGTGTGAAATGTGGAGTGTGAAGTGTGAAGTGTGAAGTGCGAAGTGAGAAGTGAGGAGTGTGGACTGTGAAGTGTGAAGTGTGAAGTGTGGACTGTGAAGTGTGAAGTGTGAAGTGTGGACTGTGAAGTGTGAAGTGTGCAGTGTGAAGTGTGAAGTGTGAGGTTTGGAGTGTGAAGGAAGCAGTGAGAAGTGAGAAGTGTGGAGTCTGAAGTGTGGAGTGTGAAGTTTGAAGTTTGGAGTGCGAAGAGTGCAGTGTGCAGTGTGAGGTGTGGAGTGTCGAGGGAAGGACACGGTCGGGACAGGGTGTCTTTGAACTATAGGTCATTTATGTTTGGGAAACTTCCGCCGCCGGCTTGCCCGGGTCTATGTTACTGATTAGGAACTAATCAACTCGCATGTGTCAGAAAGAGTAGAACTTTGCCACTGTAAAGTGAGGTCCTGTTGACCCAACATCTGCAGGTGTCAAGAGACCGCCTCAGACCATGACGAAGCGACAGTTTTGCCATGCAGCACGTGGAAAATGCGAACAACACCATTACTGCATGGTATAGGGGAAAAATGGGTCATTTGCATGAGAATATATGAGAATTAAAAAAGAGTCACAATCGGTGTTCATGGGCATAGATTGAAAACCAACAACATTCTACCATCACCTGAAGTCGCTCAACACCTTTCCCCTTAAAAGTGCTGGCGGCAGACCGTCATACCACTACACCATCAGTCCTTGCCACTCCCAATTGTCTTGCCATTGGCAGGCTTAGGCCGGACTCCATCAGACAACCAGTCTTGATCACGTTTTCTAGCATCACCATCAACACGCCATGCTTCCAAGGTCCTGACCGTCGCTCTTTCGAGCACACTGCCAACTGCCAAACCTCGAATCGTGCAAGCAGATCTGTGACAAGAGTGGTGGTGCATTGTAGTGCAGGACATCAAGAAGTATCCAAGATTTTCAGAAAGGAAACGCACACATGTTACCATACCAAGTCATATTCATACATATATATATATATATATGTATCATTACATAATATTACATACCCAGATATAAGATGTCATGTGCATACCCATGTCTGCTATATTTGCTTGACCCATAATAGCAATAAATCAACTGGTTGTGTCCAAATCACAGTTATCCACAGTTTCTTCAAAACGGGGGGTTCTCCCAAATCATCCAACCTATGATTTTTCTATGGTGACTTTTTCTATTGAAAGCCATGGTGACTTGGGGATCCTCCATTTGGGTATGTCTGAAAATGGGGTATACTCCCAAACAAATAGCCATAAGAAGTAGGGATAATGATCAGCAAAACCATTGGGTGTAGGGGTACACTATTTTCAGACAAACCCATGACTAAGAAACCATTTTCGTGCTGCAAATCCAAGGCGAGGTGACACATGACAAGACTATGACAACACGACTATGGTGATCTATGGTGATGACACGAACGGCCAGGTCTACATCGTACTCCTCCTCTGCAACCTGTCGGAATCTGTCACAGAATCTGTCGGAATTCGGATTTTTGATGATTTTTGGATCCCTGAAAAAGCGACGCATGGTTAGTCAAAACAGTCAACTGTTGCAGCATCCAAAAATCTGACCTACAGAATATTCATAGCTCAGGTAAGGTTTATAAGTCTTTATAATTAATATTATGTTATATACCGTACGTGGTAGATCCTGGTAGACAGTACATTGAAACTGCTTGAAGAGAAGCAGGCGTACCTGCTCGCATGGGTCAAGAGGCAATGCCATCAGGTACAGGACTGGCAAGCCCCACACATTTAACCTGGGTCAACTTGATGCTTGCAGAATAGTTATACAGTCACTGCATGTTTCTGCATGGTGACTGCATCATGCTGTGCATTCAGAATTCCTGTGGGCCTTTAAAATAGCATGCCGTCTAAGGGTGCCGGACAGAATCAGCGCAATGAACTTCCCTATGTGTTGCCTGCAAAGCTTAACAATCCGTCAACCATAGGTGTCCCCGCTTTGTTCAGCCGGCTACGATTCTTAAATTTGAACCCTTAGGACAACATGATTTGGTCCACTGCAAAGCCTTGCATGTGCAAATGCGTGCTTGGACGGCTGAGACGTTATAGTGAGATATAATGCTAATGTCAGTTTGTGCTTAAGCAAGGACTTCACATCTTTCACATGAAAAGCACAATCCACCCTACAAAGAAATAAAACCAGTTCTCTGCCATGTCATCCCAGAATTTGAATTCTGACCCCTCCCTCTCCTGAAACCAATGAAGCCGAAGGCATAACACACGGTCTTCACCAACAGCAAAGAGAATTGCTTTGCCTGTCACTGACGCAGTTTGCACTGAGGGGATTTCAGGGGAGGCTAGGTACTGCATGGTACTGCAAGATTTTTGACTCAGGGCAGTGCGGAAAACCAGGACTCGAGGTCGTGCGCTGCCGGAAATCTTAGCCTTGGCATTGTGGCGGTGCATTAATGCAGTGCATGAGACCAGGAAGCACGCTGTTATGCACAATTCCATACAATTCCTATCAATTTGTATCAATCTGTCATGTCTGAAGTGTCTTAAAACTCAATATAACTCAATGATAATCTCATCTGATTCCTGCATTGCTGCATTGGGTCGGTTTTCTGTGCTTTTGGAGACTTGAGAGTGAGACAGCGCATCTAGTCCTCCCCAAAGATTCACCTGAAAAAAGTCACAGTCCGCCCTGGGAAAGGCTCGCGATGGCTCGCGCTAAGCGCGGTTGCAAGGGTATCATTTGGCTGTTGCTGCCACCCGGTACCGTGCCAATACCGAGGCTGTTGCAAGCATAGCTAGCAATGTTGTCCTTGGATCTTGGATCAAACACATTTTCGCAATGCCTGACTGGCTGACGGTTCGTAATTGTTCCACGGAGTAACAAAGCTCAACCAATTACTGTGAGCATGCTTGTCACCCCAAAAAGTACTTTGCAAGATGTTCAACGATTTTCATTGAAGATATTCAAGTGAATGTTGACTGTGCCACACCTTACTTTTATTCAAAATTAGCTTAGGACTGTTGCAGCAAGACAACGATGCTGCCAAGTTTCTTGATACCCACCACGCCAAAAAGAACAAGGCCTGCAAAATGGACATGCAGTCAGCTTGTCACTTTTTCTACAACGCTCGCAAACTAGACGGACCATTCCTGTAGATATAGATATAATATGATATAGTCTAAGTATATCTCTGTATATATTCTGTATATATATATATAGACTACATAATATAGACATATGCAAAGGCTACAACACGCTTATTCAATGAACGTCTACATTCCGACATGTTTTGACAATGTAATCTATGTAGACATATTTTGACACTTTGACTCAAGGTCCCGAAGGTGGTTTGACTCACTTTCTTTCAGTGCACCTATCTCTGTGGAGGTCACTGCGAACAGCATGATGAACATCACCGCTCTGATCCGTCCAGGATCATGCTCATGCCTCAGCTTCGCGTGCCGAGTCATATCTCGTCTTTCACCCTTTTTCAAATCTTTTTAAGGCTTTGGGCTGAGCTGATGATAAATGTATTCATTATGTATTCATTCTGTATTCATGTTGTTTCCACTATGCACCCACTATGTATTCATGATTTGTTTTCATATGTTTTCATATTATGCATTCACACTTGTATTCGCCATGTATATATTGAAATGTATTAATATTTCGAACCGGGCAGCCGATCACATTGCCATATTTCTATATAGTTTTGTACAATTGACACCCGTTTTCTGGGGTCGTAGTATTGTCGTGGAGCGAAGGGACCGGTTCCCTTCGCGAGGTCCTAAAAAACTGTTCCACGTGGTTCCAAGTGGATGTGTCAACTTATGTCAAGAGCCTCTCAGCCATGAAAATTGGATTCTTGCACACACCATACGCTTTGCGAAAGGTTTGTGATCAAGCACAAACTTGCGGAACACCTACACTATCAAATGCAACTGGAGAGCAACAACACAGAATTATATACTTTGATTTCCATGTTCAAAAGATCCTGTTTGCGAGCATTCCCAGCCTTCATCATAAACTTGTGTGCAATTGATACCCCATGATACCCTAATTTTAAGCACTGATGGAAGCAACCAGGATGGAAGTTCATCACAACTCAAATGTATGCTCGGTCCACAAGAGTCAAAAGGAATTTATTGCAAGCAGAAGAAGCAGAAGGTGTGTGTCCCGCTATAAAGTCTTACAGAGACAAGCATAAAAATGCGAAGAAACACCATCAGTCTTGCAAGGATGTTCGGCGACACTACCAGTCTCTTGTTCGTACCTTTGCTAAGTCTCTGGCTTGTCCAAAAAGGCACCCCATAGAAAGACTGCAACACAGGAGAGATTGGCCACAACAAGAATCACCATACATTTCAGGGAAGGTTTGGCCTAGTCGCCACACTAAGCTGACAAAAAATGGACCTTGTTTGCTCGAAAGTCATAAGCATGATTTGGTGAGTTGGGAGCTACCTGGAATTACCTGGATACCAGCGTGAAGATTCCTTGCAAACTGGGTCCTGTGGAGGAGAAAAGTCGAATTATGGGCCACAAGAATCCTCAAAATGTGGTACCCCCATCATTGGGCCCATAATGGCACCTATCAAACCGAAGGCTACGATGGTGGCAATGACTGATGCCAACAGTGACCAGGTGAGCACGTAGTGATATGCCATTCCTGTCGTGCACAGTCGCTCATAGGCTGCATGTTGTGCAAATAGAATTTATATGTCAAAGACTTTATGTATCTTTATGTGTCAAAGCCCTGGCTTTTCAAAACCAAAACCTCGGCAAAAAGGCATTGGCCTTGGCATTGGATTCTCCACTTGACTACCAGCCTTATGCAGAGACATAGCTTGTACATGCATATCATTAATCATGAAACAACTCTTGCTGGCGGATGAGGTAGTGGTCAATTCCACAAAGCTCTTCTGATTTCAGCATTTCCTTTGTCTGGTTGGTGGTTTCAACCATCTTGAAAAATATTAGTCAATGGGAAGGATTATCCCATATATTATGGAAAAAAAAATGTTCCAAACCATCAACCAGTTGTGATGTTGATCATTTTGATGATATCTGTGGGAGTTCGCAGGTTTCCTTTCAACCTCAGTCCTGGCAGCTGTGAAGGTGGCCGATGTCTGGTGACACCGGACCCCAGCTACAATGATGTGATACTATTTGACACTGGAAAAGGCAGCAGGAGCTCAGCAAATAGACACCCAGTATCCAAAAAACTCACACATATACATCTTGATGACGGATCCTGCAATTTATGTATGGATGACAAACAGTGTCACACACACACAAAGAAAAACACACACACACAATACAACGTGCTGCCCAGTCAACGCACCCTGTCAAAGAATGTCAAAGATGCTGTCTGCAAACAACGGCCACAAGGCAGCAATCTGGGTGAGCTTCACAACTACGAATCGGTAAACACTGCAAACACACCAAAATTGACTCGGTCGCGCTATCGACACAAGGAACACCCCAAAGGCAAGAGAAAGCCTTAGCCCGCTGCTTGAATCCGTTTGATTGTCGATTGTGCACAATTGTGCTAAGTTGGAACTGATACTGCATACTGCTTGGCACTACTTTTTCCCTGAAACGCACGCAACGTCTTCCGAACGCTAAGATCAACAAGCATGAATCAGGGCTAATCATCATGAATCTATGTACTACTATGTACTACTATGTACTATTATGCACTAATCATCACCGTCCAAGAGTGCATTGAGCTCTTTCGGGTCCACTCCAAAGGATGTTGCCTGCAAGAGGAGCTGGGCAAGTTCCAGAGAGCATTTGCAGGCAGGAGTCCACCGGAAGAGGGTCCATTACCATGACAACATCTTTCTGTCTTGATAGACTGGAAAATCAAAACATCAAAAACATGAGTCAGTGTGTTCACACATAGTCACAAGCAACGGTGCTTGCACCAACTGGTTGCCTTCTTCTTTTTGGCTTGTTTCTTCTTCACTCCTTTCTTCCTGCCATTGACAAGTCCACAAGCTTGATCCCTCCCAAGCACAGACTCGTTTAAAAACGCCATTCCCACACGTGGGCCTGGCTTTCTGAAGACTTTCCAAGACAAACCAATATCCTGCAACGCAGTCCTCCAATATCCAACCGTGAGGCCACATTCACCTTGCTTGGCAGCAACAAGCTCAAATCCAGCCTGATCAGCGCAAAGGCGTTCCATGGAAAGCTGATCTGGAGTGCCCAGAGAATTTTCTAAGCCATCTTGGGACTTTTGGAAAGGCTTGTGTCGGTTCGTGTCATAGAATTTCATACGACAAGCGCTTCACATTCCGATTGAGATGCGAAGGTTTGCAGACTCAGCTTTTCTCTACTAGCCACCATGGGCCCAATTAGTCTTCTCCTCACAATACATGTACGAGTAAGACTTGAGACCATGAAGCAAAAGGCAATTCAGGAATGAAAGAGACTTGACAGCAACCTGACACCGGCTTTGTCAGCGACTTTGCGACTGCTCACAATTCTGCCTGGTCGAAAATGGAGCCCTTCATGCCGTTCTGCCACTCACCGTCGAAGGCCTCACTTCGTTGCTTAGACTTGCTACCCAAGAGGGCTGAGCACCGACAGAAAAAGTAACATGATCATACATGATCCATATCTTTCTGAATCTTGGGGTGATGTGGCAGTGAACACGCTGATACTCCAAATACCACAATATTGCAGTCCCGGCACCGTTTCAAAGGGGCACTTGTAGATTTTGTGGCCTACGAATAGCTTGATCTTGGAGTTTAACGGGCCTTTGTATCATCGTCAGAGGCGATTGCATAGAGGCGGCCTGTTTACACACAACAAAAATGCGTTCAAAGTGCAACACATGCTTCATACTTCCTCAATGCGAGAAATTCTACTCATGCTAAGAAGTTTGATATCCTAACTACGAAGAGTGGACACACTGATAAGACAAGTCTTCAACAAACAAACCTATTGCCGCGTCTACGTGCCAGAGATCTGTCCGAAACTTGCAACCTATGTGGAGCTGCAATGCTTTCTTGTACTCAGGGCTGAGTGTAAACTTTGTAAACTGTGACTGTGATGGCATGGTTTCCCATTTCCCTACATACTTACCATTTTATTTGAGGCATGGATAGCGCAGTTTTTGCGGTTGGCACTTCCATGAAATGTGTCCACCTCCAGGCTTTAGCACACGCTTGAGCTCAGCGAGGGCTGCCTTGCCAAGCAACACAAATCTGTGAAATTCTGTAAATATCTATATGTCATTATCTATCCCTGCTTTGCCAACTGCTGGGACCTTCCTACTGTTGATCATTGTCTCGTTAAGTTCCGAACTGATGTTGGCCCACCTTTTTGTGTCGCAAGATTTTAATCAATGGCTGATCCAACTGCTTTTCACAGAGTCCAGCCCTTGAAAGTGACCGCCAGCTGTTGTAGCTCCGGCGAGAATGTACAGTCCAGCAATGAAGACTGGAGCCCGTTCCGTTGACACAAGCTCTGCAAATGCATTCTCACTCAATGTCCGATTGTGTTAGGTTAGGAAAGAAACACACTTTTTACCAATCACACATGCTTATGATTTATGTAATTTCTACATATGTAGCTATATACTATCTATATATTATATATATATGTAACTCTAATTAGTTATATAGACATACGTATGAATACGTCGAAAAGCATTTGCAGAGGCAAACATGATACCACATGAGAAAAGTCAAGAAGGTGTTCACAATTTCACAAGCCTACCATGACCATCTCTGCATTGCTGCCAACTCGCTTGATATGTCCTGCGGCAAAGGTCTTTGGTGTCATCGAGCCGATTGAGCTGGAGCGGAGATTCCGAGAGGCTTCGGCATCGCCAAAGGCATCAGCGTCCTGATTGAACTCTGCGGCGATGACGGCCAAGGGAGAAGGCATCACACCTGGATCCAGATCCAATGCGAGCTCTCGCATGGAATAGGCCACCGGGATGGGAGAAGGAATTCCTTTTTGTTCCTCTGCTTGAGCCGCCATAACTTGTTGCACGGCATTTCCATAGGCATAGACAAAGACACCCACGGTCATGAAAATGAATCCTATGACCTGGATCCAAGATGCCTGCCCTTGCCAAGGCTCTCCCACTGGGCCATATCCAAAACCACGTTGGCCCAAGCCGTAGAACAACGCCATGTCAATGAGCCAAACAAACAGTGCCTGCATATTTCTGGAGACTGCCCTGAAAACGGATCCCAAATGCTTCATCACCATCATGCCCAGGGCGTTCAACCCCCAAAGCCCAAGAAGGTAGAAGATGAGAACCAAATCCAGGGTGCTATTCCGCTGGATCATCAGCAAAGAGTCCTTGGTATTCTCAAAGACTCCACCCACGTCACTTCCTGGGATCACGGCCAAAGTGGGCATGATGACACAGGCTGTCATGATCAAGCCATAGACACCTTCAGTGCCTGTCACCTCAAAGGGATGAAAGCCGGACTCTCCCATGACCTTCTCTTCCAAGACGAATTGGATGCTGTTCACAACTCTGGCTAACACGCACAGAAACATGCCAAAGGCCTGTTGAGAGGCAGAGTATTCTTGCATCCCAGTGCTCACGGTCTTGTCACGGGCAGCCATGTCTGCTGAGTATCCAACAACAAGCAAAGAAGCCAGGACTATGCCCATTCCCAGATACTGGATGCGATTGTAGCGACGTCCAAGAAAGATGTAGCTGTTCAACGCGACCATGATGATAATGGAGGACCCCAACATCTGCGCTGTGCTGTTGCTGATGTAAACAAGACCGGTGAAACTGAGGATGCTACCAACGAGATCACCCATCGCTGGAAGAAAAATCAGCGCTCTGACTTTCCATCCTCGATCTCCGACCTGCAGGGTTTGACTGGCTTTGCATCATTCAAGATCATTCAGGATCATTCATGCATACTAAAAAACGCTCATGGCCGCGAACATCAGGTATACTGTATACTTTTATATTTCAACATTATTCAATTACATTCACATGTAGATATGTAATACGTTTACCAGCATATTCTCATTTCGCCAAACAAAATGATTCAACTGCCACTTTCTGCCAACCCAACACTGCCTCTTCAGGCAACAAAGACTCGCTTGCGGTACCATCTGCAATCTTGGGCTTTGAGAAGCTCTGCACTGCCCAATGAAGAGGAAAGGAGAGCGTCATGCCAATGAACATCAGCAGCTCCAAGAACCATGGCTTCTTGAAAAAGTGCGCTGGATAAGCAGGATCTCCCACATCTTTGATTTGGTACGCAAACTTGTTTGTGACGCCTCCAAGAGTGATCACGGCCAGGAATGACAGAACGAGGGCAGTTTTGTTCACCATGGCACGTGGCAACACAGCAACCGCTCGGCACTGGTGCGCCCTCGGTCAATGTGCCGAAGGGATCCGAAGGGCCCCTTTTGAGCTTCGTTGCTTGACGCAGAACCATGGTTGCACATGGTCACATATGGTTGCAAATTTCGGCTTGAGGTTTGGTGTTTCAAGCTGTGCCCGGGATTTTCCGCAAAACTGGTCTGAAACCAAAGCCAAAACCTGCTCAGTGGCCTCCTGTCTGGAGCCCAATCGCTGAATAGCACCATCGGCTAAGAGTGCCATGTCCTGGTTGCAGAAGCATTTGCTGCTCCACCAACAGATTACTCTTGAAAATTGCAGTAGGTTTATTGATGTTTATTGATATAACAAACGTTTGAAGACGATCTGTTTGAAAATGCAAAGATATGCAAAGATTCAAGCTTATTTCTTCAGCAGCATTTGCCCAAGTTCGACTTTTTTCGTACCAACAATGGCAAAGCATCTGGCTGGGGCCTGTGAACTGTCAGGGCCCAGGTACAGGCTTTCACTGGACTAATTGTGTGTCCACTATCTCTCATGAACTAGGATTCGACTTTCATCTTGACGCCCAAAGCTTGATGAAGCGGAAACTGAGGCTTGTGACCACGCTGGACTTGTCAATTTGCCACCTCTCAAGTGCGTTGGGGGCAATGGGAAGAAGCCTTCGGTATGAGCAGAAAGGAGATTGAACAAAGCAAACACAAACAAAAGCAAACAGGCCCCAGAATGAATCAAATATATTCAAAAGCAATCACATTATCACTACATCCATGCAGCAATAGCAAGAGATGTGCTCAATGAATTTTTCGGTTGCGCGGGTATCCTGCAAGACCTTGATGGACGTTTTAAACATCTTCCAGCGCCTATCTGATGGATTCATCCAGCCCTGAAACCGCGGCTTAGCACCCTGTGCATTTGCCTCACAGGTAGTGGTGAGATGTGGTGAGATGTGGTGAGATGTGGTGAAGCCACTGCAATGGTCATCCAAGGCACACACCACAATCTCCATGGTTTTTGCTGCCGATGATATGGCGGAAACACAGTTGTCTTCCCAAGCGTCTCTTTGGAACGCCAGGGTTTGCAGCACTTGCTCATTAAGCAAACTATGTGGCAAACGGACTCATTAGTAATTATATAATATTGATAATTAATGATAATTAATTATATATTAGTGTATACTGTATGTAATCATCCTTTTACAGTATTCCAACAGCTTCAAACATTTCAAAGCCATGGATTCAAACAGTGTCCAGCTACTTCAAATCAGAATACATCGCCTGGGCCTCGGTCCGGTGAGGATCCTTGTGGAACTCATGAGATTTGGGAGAAAAACCAATCCTTCAGAGCGGATGCTGGCCAAATTCATCTGCATTATAAAATCAATTCTTCTAATTTGGCTAGAAACACTCTCCGAACACCCAAATCAACAAAGGCTGTGACGCATGGCTTTCCAACGGAGACCTCAAGGGAACCTGCCAGATGATTCTCTTCAAGCTTTGCCACATCTCGGGCTGCAAAAAGATCTTTTGAGTAGAATACGGCATATGTATTGCATTTCCACCCTTGCAACTGCTGGTCATCAAGTTGTTCACAAGGGCATCAATCCACCAGGGAAGGAATACGCCGGTAAAACCACAAAAAATCATCAGTTATTGATCACAACGTATAGCAATAAAGTCAAGTGCCTGCTCCTTGCTCGAGTACCAATTTCCAGCCTGGCCGTTGGAATATCGGCTTCTCTGACTGTGACAGGTCATGATCATACCTCGGCGGATTCTTCTAAGGCATCTACCCAATAGATATGTTGCTCTTGTCGCGGTTGCAGACCTTTGGCGTGCAAGCAATCTTGGAGCTTGAGTTGAGTGTATCTGTTTTTTTTATATGTTTCCTACAGAAGAAAATCCCAACTGCATTTCTTCTCAGCTGCACTGGGATACGCTAATACCATCTACTACTAGTCAGTTCTGGTCCTAGCTGGGGTCCTTGCAGCAACAAATATCTGCAGCGTACTCCTCTGGTCTTTGAAGACGCTCCTAGCAGCGACTGAATGGGTTAGGTGATGATTTCTCTGCACCTCAGCGTGATGAGATAAGGCCAATAGTTCAGTTGATGCGTAAGGAGATTTCGGAAACAAATTCAAGTCAAACATTTCCTCTGCCTTTACAAGACAAGATCCCTTTTCCTTGTCCCTTGTCCCATCAAGCGGGACTCTGTGATATTGTCAAACCTCTCTCCATCACTTGCCTCTCAATCTTTGAGGGACAAATTGATCTTGGATGATCTTGGTACCTCATTCGATTTTCAACAAGGTAGGGCGCTGCCCGCTGCCTCTTCCTCTTTGAGGCTTTCCATTTGGCAGGGAGTTGGTAGTGCAGTCAAACTCCTTGGCATAGTCAAGGAAGAAACAAACATGACAAGGTGCAAAACCACTTGAAGACTCGTGTGCACGCCACTCCAAACAATTGATCAAAGGTTGCCACAAAGGAAGAGTGGCTACGGACTGGGTTTTCGAAGTTTGTCACGCCCACCAGAAGACAATATTATGGATACATTTGCATTGATCAAGCATCAAGCTCTTGCACAACACGATCACAATTTCAATTATTTTCCTGACACAATTCCATCGTAATTTCCAATGCGCTCGCCCATTTTGGCTTGGTCGCCAGCACTATGTTTACATGCAAACAAATCTTGCAAGAAAGGCAAGATAAAGGAGACGCCAAGAAAGGAAACATTAGCAAACAACATTAACATAACCGACATATACCGACATAACCTTCAGACTCCATCACATACTGTACATCCCGGGAAGTCCATGCCCAATGTTCTGAGCACCCACGCGTGGAGCAGCTGCTTTGATTCACAAAGTTTGGATCGGTGCACCGTGCAAAGATGGTCAGAAGCCTGTGCCGAAATCTTAAGATCAAGCTGTGAAAACACAAACACTTGGAACATTTGGTCACGAAACAGTGTGATGCCCGTCAAGCTTAAAGATCCCGGGACGTTAAATCTATCCATGCCCCAAACATCCAAAACCAGTGTGCAATCCCGTATAATCCGGCATGTAACCGTATGTAGTACGTGTATTAACATATACAGATTACTTTGTCCCATGAAGCTTGGCAGTATAAGCCCAGCCACTGCCCACTTTTCACCTGGGAACATAGTTGAGGACCGGGCTTGTCAGTCCTGTCGAAGCGCTTAGTGTTGTGAACCGAGAAGAACATCAGCGGAACTCCATCAGGGTACCACCTGTCACACGCTCAAAAAACATCAGACTGATGTGCATCCATGCATTGACATGCATTGACATGCATTGACATGCATTGACATGCATTGACAACATCCTGAGTCAGCATGAATGCCCTTGTACTTCCTACAAAACTAGGAAAAGACTGCTCCAAGTGGAGGGCGGACCTTGGATCTGCATAGATCTTCTTGGTGATCCAAAACCTGCCCACAAAACCCACAAAATCCACAGTCAATTCTTTGGGCTCAAAATGCGGTTGTGACATCGAGTGACATCGAGTGACTGGGACCAAATTGAACGACACAACATTCAGCCCATCCCACTTTTTCGATGACTTTTTCGATGACTTTTTGGATGACTTTTATATTGTTTTTATATTGTTTTTATATTGTCTTGATATGTTTTGATGATCAAACCCCACCTTGTGAGGTATGTGTCTGGCCTGAAGAATGGCTGGTGTCACCATCAACAACGGCGCCAGGGATTGCTGGCTTGCCAAATCAGACAGCACGAACAACACATTGCATTGCTGACAAACTGGAACAATGAAACGAATCCAGGCTTTCTTTGGATCTGTTCATGGAGGATGACCACAGCAAAAAATCTCAATGTGAGAGAGCTATGGCAGCTATGACCCATCGACATGAGGCTTCCACTCCAAGTCAAATTTGCACCAGGCCTCATTTTCCGAACAGAGTTGCCAGCCAGGTTTTACGTTTAAGCAGCTTCGTCTTTTCCAGGAATGCATGCAGAATGTTACAAAGTTCAGTGCTTTGCCTTCGAGTCTTCAGGCTTTTCCATGCCAGTTTACTTGCTGTGCATTCTCCTCCGTGTCAGTCAGTACAGGGCCTGCTACCTTCATCACAACTCAGGACTTGAGACTTCTTTGAATTGCTCCAACGGCTGAAATGCTTTTTGAGAATTTAGCATAAATCCAATGACATTTCTAGCGAACTTTCCAGTTCCATATTCAGATTGGGCTACCGCGCTTTTGTGGCGTTGGCCATCCACAACTCCACATTCAGCATATCCTCATCCTCGTGAGGTACACTAGTTGCATATGTTTGATTCATTAGCCTTTCACAATAGATACTGTACTAGTTCATAGAGTCACATTGAGTCATATTCAGTTTGACATTGCAGTAAACATCAGTAAACACCAAGACGTCAACGCCAGAGAACTGCAAAACCTCTTGGCCCCTTGGACCTTGCCCCATCATTTTCGAGCTGCAACTTCACACTCCACAATCCAAACAACTTAGCATGCAGAAATACACAAATCAACACACTCCACAAAACTCTATGCTCCTCCATCATCCAATTTTTCAGCTTGACCTTTGTGACTCTTTGTGCCTGCAATTCTCTGCACAGAATCAAAAAGGTCAAGTCAGGCTAATTCAGGAGTGTTCCTACTGTTGTGATACCATGGGTTTGCAGCCAACACCACTCTCTGCAGGATCGAAGCAGTTGACTGAACTTGGATCACTGCCTGCGTACCGGCTTTCAGCATCTCCACCACATCTATAGGCACCAGGTTGGACCTTCAATGCAGCAGGAATCACTTTCTTCGATGGGCACTTCTAAAGTGATGAAGTGCTTCCCTTGACTTGTACCCGGTACCCTCTTCATGCAAAGCGTTGGTTGGGGAGATCAGAAGTTGAAGAACCTCGTTTTTTGTCATTTTTCTTTCAGGCTGGGCAACTGACTGAGCAGTGTTCAAAACCTTCTGCCATACCTTTTATACTCGCAGGTTGATAAGGGTTCCCATAATGGGTGAGGCTGAGCTGAGTGACGAACAACCCCCAAGTCCTCACAGACGCGACGAAGTCTGGCGCCAGTGCCACCTCCATGAGATCTTTTGGTGGAACCATGACACGGCCAAGGGTGGCCGGGCCAGAAAAACTGAAAAAGGTGACCCAACGTGCATGCTGTGGATGAACCAAACGGAATTAGGATGTTGCAACGTCCTAAAATCCCCCCCCCTTTAAGGGGGGGGTTAAAAACTGAAATATTTCACTTTGGGAGGGGGGTCACCCCCCCCCCACACCTAGAAATATTTCAGCTAAAAAATTCTGGTTTATAATGGTCTCTCCAGGGCCTGGTTGAATTCAAGGCTGAACGTCAAGCTCTGAAGGCTGTTTGACAAGTTCACTCTGTTATTTATTTTCTTGGAAACTGGCAGTTGCCATTTACATCCATTTACCTAGTTGTGTGGTTTGCGCGTGGGCCCTACCCGCGTAATGACTAAAAAGGTATGGCAATGGATTTTTTTTGGGGGGGACCCTGCTAGAACTGTAAAATACCATGGTTTTGCAACTACCCCCCCCTCAAAAATTTCGCTGTTGTAATTATTTATTTACCGCAGGGGTAGGAAACAAGAAGGGGCTCCTCCAGAGCATTGGCAATGGTTTTTTTTGGGGGGGGGACCCTGCTAGAACTGTAAAATACCATGGTTTTGCAACTACCCCCCCCTCAAAAATTTCACCGTTGTATTTTTTTGTAAGTATGTTTGTGCCAATATTATATATACACATACATTATGTGTATTTAAGTACATGAATGTGTATATATATATGTATATATATATATATGTATATATATATATACATATATATATATATATATGAATGTATGTATGTATGTTCAAAATGAAAGGGTGTGCCATACCATCTCTGGGCTAAAATGTTGCATCCGGAGGACCCCCCCACATCTTTTGGAAGCCCCAAAAACATGTGGGGGGGTATATTTCATGTGGTCAGGTGAAATATTTCTCAGAAATTTCTTGCCTTACCCCCCCCAAAATATTCCAGGGTTAAAGGGGGGGGGATGTCCTAAATCAAATTGAAGCTGATGCTGCAACCAAGTTGCAAGATATCGCTTCAGAAGTAAATTCCCCAAGAACAACAGTGCCCAATACGTCCAGGTAGGATGTGCGTGGCACCACCTGAGCAAACCACCCTTTCTTTTTGCTACAGCTTGCTTAGCATGGCATAGGTCATGAGGCGGGGTTCAAAGCCGTGAGCAGGTTTGGGCACTCTGGTCCTTGGGCTGTTGGTGGTTTAGAGAGGAGACAAAGAGTGAATCAAGATTTCGATTGATTTGACTGTTTACTCCAATGGGGGTTAGTGTGGCAAGAAACTCATCCGGGATATAGTGTTTGCACGGATACTACTGCTGCATGCACATTCTTTTATTCTGCACGAACTGCAACAAGTAGTCATGAATGACATCAGTGCAGTTTCTGCTATTGAAGGGACAAACTCTATCCTCAATTTTGAGGCAAGAAAGTGTCACGGACGACTGTTTTGGGTATCTATCTTTGCATCTGGACATCGTGGCTTTTTTTTTGGATGGCACTTGAAAAAAGAAGCCATGCCCGCCGGTGCCTCATGCCATGAGGTCGATTCCAGAACTGAAGCCGGTACTCGTAGAACTGCTCTCCCCTCAGTTGACTGAAGGCAGCGCCCAACCGTGATTCATGCCGTCCTTCGGCAGCAAACAACAGCTTGCCCGCTGGGTTACTGGATCTTACACGAGTTTGCGCAGCCACAGGTCATCTTGCATGAATTTCAGGCCAACTGTTCCTAAGATCAAACTCTTGTAATCTCTTGTACTCTTTCTACTTAAAAAAACTAACCACCTTCCACTAAGTAGACGTTGAGAAAGAGCACCTGTTTTTTCAAATGATACTTCTTGCAAACGTCATGCACATATTATGCACTTCACTGCCTTTTGGTTACATAGATTCATTCCTGAAGTTTCGACAACATCTCAGAGCCAAACAGCTCAGCATCCCTGGACATCCAATGAACAGGCCTTGGTGCCATGTCAAGATGCACATTCCAGCAAGATGCAAGATGTCAAAGGCAAACTTATGAAACATGAACCAGTGAAATTCCTACAACGACGGGCTTTGCGCAACACTGCTCAAACAATGTTCAGGTGATTTCAGGTAGAAGATGGTAGAAGTATGTTAGAGATTGGGTGAGATTGGTTGTTTCTGGCTCGAACACCTAGTTCAGGACCATACATTCCGCATTCTCACATGCCACCCAATGATAAGACCCAAATCTACCAAGTGGACAGGCGTATGAAATCCACTTCTGAGGTGCGTTGCATTAATGCTGCACTGTACGATTCCTATTTGGATTATTTGGAAAGAATAAGGCCAATGTACAAGACCCTGGGTCCTCTATGGTCCTCTCTGGTTGGAATTGGAATTTGTGAAGGATTACTTTGAAACTGCTGAAGCCGAAAAGGAATGAGGGACTGGATGCTTGCAGCATTGGCAATTCAACTGTGTTTGCCACCGTCAACAACGCATATGACGAGTCTTGGAGCCCGGACATCAAAGGGAACGGATACTTCTGCGTGCACTGAATCCTGAGGCAGTTGTCATTGCAGTCACGACCTCTTTCTACAGAAAAGGTGCAGCTGTAAAATGCTGTAAACGCTTGCACTCTCCTGACAAATCCAAAAGAATCACAAAGAGCTTCGCGTTGAAATCCTTTCAATACTTCTACGAGTATCTACGAGTAGCATCTTCCATCTTTTGGCACCGCATAGAATGGCTGAATCGAAAACATGGATTGGTTTCCATTGAATTCGATTCGGGGCACAAGGGAATCTCTATATACTCGGTCTAATCAACCTAACCGGCGCCTGGTTGCACGGAACACGTTGTCGATACCGGGGGCAACGAGCTGGTCCACGTCCAGCTGGATGCCCACTGAGCAGCCACAAATGGACCACATAAACAAAATCAAAAGCTGCTGAGATGTTATTGAGGCACACTTTATCGCTTTACATTGCTACAAACTGATCTTGAGTTGATTTCTGGAAGATTCTTCTGTTATCTTCTGTTCATTGATGTCTGTGCCTCCTTTCCATTTAATCTTTGCAAGATCATCTTATAGCCTAATGGAAGCGTGATGGAGCATTGAACATGCATTTTCGTTTTTCACTTGATGTCAAGCCGTTTTCAAGGTTGGATCTTGATAGATCTTGGCCACTTGGCCGACTTCAAATTACAATAGCACTTTCAACTCGGAATTTGCTGAGCACCAGGCCGATGACTCGGGCTGCAATCATCGATCGAATCTGGCAAGCTTGGGTCGTTGTTTTCCAATGTTTTCCAAATGTGCCATGTTGACAAGCAGTGTCATGAAATGTCATGGACCTGGTCCCATGAAAAAAAAATTCTTCCACTCCAACTGGATCCTTCGTGAGGTCCAAACACAGTCTGAGACCGGTCAAATCCCTGTTTGTTCCTGACTTGGTGAATCTGCTCCACTTTTTTCATTGAACATGATGAACATGTCAGTGTTTGTCCCCCGCTAAGGAAACCATGTAGTCACATAGCGGGAGAGTGTTTGGAGGATTTCCTCTCGGGATGGCTGTTTTAGGAGAAGCGTAGACGGAACTTTTTAGGGAATGCCGGGAATGACATTGATTGAATTTGATTGACATTTATGGAGTCTGGAATTTCTGGTCCCAGCCAGTTTCTAGGGAATTCTTCCTGTCACCTCACTATCCATTGCTTGCGAATACTTCCAACATGTAAAGCTGCCAATGGGGCAGCATGTATCAGCATGCAACGAGTTTCTTCCTTCGCCCTGCAATTTCATGGCCTTGTTGAAGTTGAATGACACGGGAAAGGTCAGACCGGATGCCATCCTCATCTGCCATGGTGAAGATGCCACAGTGCGGAAACCAAAAACAACGCCAGGCATCTGCAAAACTGAGATTCCGATGATCACTCTTTGTTTTTTCCCAGTATCATAAACAATAATCAACAATACACTATTCAATACACATGACAATCATGACAGATATGCACAAATATCACAGCCCCTGCAGATATCAGAGATCAGAAGAGATGTCCAAATGGCCCCAACATGCCCCAACCACCATGCGGACCATGCTTGGTTTCTTCCTCTAAGGCTCCAACTTGTACACAATGACGTTGGGGGTCCTTGCCCACCACGATGGAGGTCGATATTTGGAATCCGTCACCTGGAGTACTTGAAGAGCAAAACATAGCAAATCCAAGGCATGTGGCATTCACGCGTCATTCTGCGGAGATCGTCCATGGATAATTGTCAGATGATCACAATATATCACAATCTTCAAAGAATCTTCAACATTCTTCAATTATATTGATCTTATATGATCTTATATGATCTTATGATATCAATTGATATCTTCAAATCACACAATGTTTCTTTTGATTTGTATATCTTGATATATCTTGTCTCATTAGTCCCAGGAGCTACTCTTGACCCCCCAGGCAGGTCTGGGGATCTGGGGACACGCACCATGACAATGATGGGCCGTGTGGAGAACAGCGATGTGGACCTCATCGAAGGATAGAGATGTCTATGCAGTCTATGCATCAAGATGATCTCAAGATGCATCAAGAAGAGAATCGGCGTTTTTCTTCAACATGCTTGAAATATGTCAACATATATGTATATATATATGTATATTTCAATATTATGCTTAAGATAAATTTCAGGTGTATTAGTGTGTTGCCTAATGAGTCCCATTTGATCCTATTGGACATTGGAGGATTCAGCTGTCTGATCTCTCGAAGACCACCATCTGCCCTCTGATCCAGGAAAGGCTTCAGCCTCGAGATCCTCCAATCATCTTGGGCTTTTTGGATCTTTTCGGTATATCGGTATATCATGGTATATCAATGTATACATATATATATATAAACTACGTGTAACAATATATATATATAATATAATATATATAATATATATATATATTGTACATTTATTGTACTGTATATCCCTTTTGTTTGTTTTTGAGGCCCACCAACTCCGGGATTCCCACGTTTTGGCTTTAGCAACCTTTGGAAAGAACTGGGAACAATCTGTGGGTATCTGTGGGTTATGCCCTCCTGCACGGACGATTGCAGTGCCAGCTTGCCTCAAGAGGTTCGTAGCCATCCACTCGTAGTTGGAATTCATCTCGCCACCCACGTAGGTCCTATAGATCTGGACCACATGCAGCGTCTCTTGGACTGTTTGTATCGGTTTCTATGTGTTTGTAATACTTGTCGGAAAATGCTCTGCATACCGCAAAATGCTGAAAAGATTGGACACCAAAGGTTGCCTTAACTTTAGAAATTCCAAGGCATAGAAAGGACGGATCATGGCTCGGCTAAGCCCGAAGCACAAAGGCTTCCTCGATCCAGTCAGACTCTTCAGAGGTCCACTTCAAGAAGTTCCTGCAACACTACCCGCATTCGCAAGATCAGAAGGCACATAGCAACAGTAACAAACACCTCAGATCTTTGCAATTACACAGGTACGCAAAGGACGTTTTCGATGATCTGTTCCAACTTTCAGCAAACTTGCTATCCATTGTCTTGGTTCTATGATGTTCTATGCAGGCGCCCTAATCGAACGAAGGAGTCAAACATGCCGGAGACTCTCGGCATAATCGCAGTCCAAGTAGACGTCAAAATACTTCCTCAGCGTTTCGGCCAAGCTTGTCGAGCTCACGCTGTTTGCTCCATTCTCACCCAATATCCCAATGTCAATCACATCTCTGGAAACGAATCCAATAAAGAAGCTGCACTCAGTCTGATAGCGTGCAATGGGATTCAAACAAAAAGGATCAAAAAGGTACATAGACTGATAGGTCTTCGATGTGACAGCATGACATGCCTCATTTACCAGCTCTGCTGAGTGCTGCTCGCAAGTCTGGAGTCTCCACAGAATTCCATGGTCGCAGCTGTCAACCTTGGCCACTCGAATGCTCTCGATATCCCTTGGGACCATCTCCAGGCGCCTGACACATGCTCTGCCTGCTGATGGCCTGGTGACCGTGGCACCTGCCAAGGACAGGAGGCACATGGAGGCACCAAGGGCACAGCACACTTCTCGACTCGTGAAATGCTTGAATCCACGTCAGCCAATCATCACCAATCCTAGCCAATCATTCAAACCATTCAATGAATATTCAATGATTCCATACGGTTTCCGATCTGATCTTCTCCAGTTTCACATTGTTTCTTCTTGGCTTGCTCAAATATTCTTGCGGCTCGTTGCGTGATCAAGCCGTCCAACTGGTAGCGTACCCGACGCAGCGGTTGATTGCAAGTCCACAGCAGCTCGTGAGTGTGAGGCCGCCGACAGAGTTCTGCCCTGACAATACCCGCAGTGATCGGCAGCAATCGGCAGCACGTGAATCAATGTACAGAACGAGTAGAAACACTAGGGGAGAAGGACTTTGAATGGCACGAGGGACACCAGGAAATTAAAAAGGGTGCATATATATATATATACACATATATATATATATACATATATATATGTATATATATAATATGTATATATATATACATACATATATTATATATATATACATATATATATATATACATATATATATACACATATATATACATATTATATATATATATTATATTATATATATATATTAAAAAATCCAAGTCTGCTCCTGTCAATGCTGGCGTTTGTCTATCAACATCTTCCAACATGTCATTCCAGCACTGCAAGAAGGCTCAACATGGCACACGTTTTGACATGCTTCTCTCCCGGTCCTCGACCGTGGACTGCCAGTGTAGGCCCTGGTGATCAAGAACAGAGGTTTCGATTCATTTCCCGATCTGCTTGATATATTTGATATTGATTCACCTTGAAATTACTCTTAGGGCTGAGCGTTTTTTTTCGGAGTCAAAGAGCATGACTTCTATTCAAATTATTTCAAATTTAAGCAGTGGCATGCCGCTTGCCGCTCTCTTGTTGCCGCATTGTGAGAAGGCTAATCTCTTTCAACAGATGCCTGTTCTTTCCCTTTGAGCAAGCTTCACCTTGGAACATTTCTGGAAATGATATTGAAATGATGATAAACGGTGATGTGAAACAAAGCTAGACCTCAAGTCTGGAAGAAAGCAGAAAACTATGCTATATATAAGAGAACATACCACAGGATCACTGCAGGATATGCAAGAACTTGTGCAATATGAGCCGGCAATCTGCGTCAAACTCAGGAACTTTCCAATTTCATGCAAGTTCCATTTTTGCAGGAGCATATACATATGTTGTATCTTATAGTCTGGATATATACTGCACCCATTTGCATATGGAATATACATGATTGGCAGACAAAATTACTTATTACTCGCAATGGACATGGCCAAAGAGGGTGGTCCCCTATCGGTTGTGAAGGTTTTCGCACTAATTTGAACATCGCAAGTCCACTCCCTACGTTAGACACTTAGTCTTCTGCTAATTTTGTCGGTTACTCACATGAACGTACTATATTCATCCTATATTCTGCATAGCCTGATTAGCCTGCATCCGAACTACCTGGCGATTGAAAATGTCCTGAATGGTTTGTCGAGCCTGAAGCCCTAGCCTTGACACTGAGGTCATGGCCGCAATACTGTGAATTCACCGGTAGACCTCAGGAGGAAAGCCAGTTCGCTTTGATTGTCTGCCAAATAATGGAACGCAATCAACCAAGCTCCTGAAACATCAACACATTTTCGCACTTCTATGCACCTGATAGACTTCGATTCGATGACATGTGTCTTCTCGCAACGCACGCACGGCTCACCGGCAGCTGTTTCAGCAACTTGAGCTGTTGACCAGCGGTGGTTCCAGCGGCGCCTGATGTTGGTTGATCCAAGATCAGGCTGACTGTGGCCACCCAAATGCCATGACCGTTCATGCCATCTTCATAGTTGCAAAGTGAGTCACAAGCTCAAACCTTTGTTAATTTCTTCATATTACCTCCATTGGCTGGCTAAGAGGTTAGTAGTATAGTGGAATGTAATTGAATGTCATGATCCCAACAAACCAGAACTCCTACAAAAAGACCTTTCAACACCTATCAACATCTATCAACACAACTACCAAGTATCAACATCCATCAACATAGCAAAATCCATTCGTTGACATCGATCACCAACATTGATTGGATTGGTTTAAGGGACATTTTACAGGAAACCAGAGTGATTTTCCCATGAAATATGGGGCTTTCCTGTAAATTTTCCCTTTAACCAATCCATTGATCATGATATACCCATGATATTGGTGATATACCCATTAATCACTGGCCATTTAACCAATCCATTGAAACATGTATCAACAACGGGGCCCAACGGGGCCTTCGATGGGAAGGTCTTGGCTGTAGCATTGACACTCCTTGAGGTATCCCGCGGCCGGATCTCGGCCACCGAAGTTGCGAACTTCCTCGGCCAAAAAAAGCGTAGGGAAGCGAGACGCTTGACTGGATAGTTGTCATAGTGGAGAATCAAGTTGCGTATCATATTATATCATAATATCATAATGTTTTTTCTGATGCATTATGATATACAGTCTAAAATCAATGTGCAACCCACCATGCAATTGAATGCAATTAGATATCATTCAACACTCTTGATCACCATTGCCGGGGCAGGAAGTCCAACACAATGCAATCAACATCTTCTGTCTCTGCTCAAGCCCTCACTCCCGCAACCAGTCAAGCTGTACATGCTCCAAACTAGGACCTCATCAAAGAATTGTTCTGCCAATGGCCTTTCTCGCACACTTTTCATATCTTTTCATGGTACTGAGCATGGGACGCAAAGCACAGCTAGGTCAGCAGTCGGTGGACTGAATTCTGCCAGCAAGAGGCTGACATGGGCCCCAGCTCACATTCACACGAAAGATTTGGCTGACTGTGCTTTGTGTGCATACGAATGGCCAGAAATACTTTTCAAATTGACATGATTTGCCACGTTTTTACATGTCTTGACATGTTTTGACATGTCTTCACTCTGTCCATACAGTGATTATCAACTCCCCATCAGCAAACCTACCAGCATCTCACAGACACAGAGCTAATATCACAGTAGTTTGGGCACTGCTGGGGTGGAGTCCCAGAGTCGTCCTGGTCGCTGATATGGGACCCAAAGTGTTGCCTGAAAAGCTGCAGAAGTCGGCTTTCCGGCCAAAACATGCCCAGGCAATCGCTCGGTTTTGCCAAATATGTAGCAATGTAGCATGCTTTGATTGCCTGTCCAAATGAAAGCAACGCAATGCTCCGTCGCAGTTTCTTGAACACAATTTTTATTTAGTAACTGCATGTAATTACGTAAGCATGGTATGGCATGGGCCAAACTCCAGTGTCCATCAGTATCCCATATCCCGGTGGGGAAGTCCCGACCAACCGACTGAGTCATGGGGTCAGCCAGTCAGCCGAGTCGCGTAGCCGAAGCGAATCTCCGGGCTTTTGCAGACCTTGACATAATCGGCTTGGACATCAAAGCTTGGAGGATGTAGGAAACATCATTGAGTATGAAGACTCATCAAGTGTACATATATATATATATACATATTTATCCATATAGTTCATATTTGTATGGTTTGTATCTAGTTCATATCATTTTGTATCTATAGTTTGTGAAAAGCAAAGAGACAGTATGTAGCTCATAGCACCCCATTACCAACACATCTGAAGGACAAAGCCAAGTTGGACTGCCAAAATATATCAAAATGGATCCAAATGGATCAAGGGCCATATCCCAAATCTTGGGAAGAGCTTCAGTTTATGCTTACCATCTGGTTATGACTAACATAGCCATGGAAAATCACCATTTTTAATAGGTAAACCTCTATAAATGGGCCATTTCCCATGGCTATGAGGGTAATCCAAGTGGAGGGTCTCCTGGTGGTCCCACCATGTCCCACCTGAGAATTGCACGCACAACTCATGCTCACGCGCGCATCTAGACCATCCAGTTTTTGTGTGCCTGATGGTACAAGAGTCACCAGAGGACACTTTGACCCTGAATCCTGACGTCACATGTCCCCTTTCTATCTCCAATAATTAGTGTGTTTCTAACCATGCAAACACATGCAAATGCTTTGACATTGTCTTAAAAACCTCATGAATTTTGATATCATATCAAATCATGCTACATGATCAGAATCTATATTCTCATGCATTTCCATATGTGCGATATGCCACTGCAGGGTACATGTATGCCTCTAGACATAAATGAATAATATAGCCCTTCAAATACCCCTAAAACCTGGATCAACACAACAGAGTTCGGCAAACCGCATGAGCTTAGCTTTGAGCCAGTAGGCTCGTAGATTTCGCAACGCTCTTGCACCAAGTGAACAACACCACAAGAAAAACGTCGAATTAACATTTTTTGGTCGAGTTGTTTTTCACAGTGAAATGTCATGGAACAAACGCCCGTCGTGCTGCGGAGTTTCACAGAATATATGGCTATGGGTCAAAACCTTGTACCCCTGGTGAACATCAAAATAGCTGGTAAATGGATGTTGATCCCCCTAAAAATGGTATCTATAGTAGGTATTGATCCATACCCATATATCTGTCCTATCAAACAACTTGCAGCCGGGTCTGCAGACCTGGCCTCGCCAGCTCCCGCGCCATCTCCTCTGGTTGGGTCTCAATGACCTGATCACATTGATCACCGATGCCAAAAATGATGGCATCGGTAAAAGAAATCACCACCGGTCCATGGATGATTCCAAGATATTCCAAGAGTTGCGCATGAAAACATATGAGAACATATGAAAACTATATGTTTTTCATGTTTTTTCTCCAGAATTCCTGAATGATGGCTGGCCAATCTCGCAAAACGCTTCCTGAGTTCCCATGCCCATTGCTTCAAATGTGAGAGAGTCTCGATCTCCTGGTGCCAAAGCAGGTGAGTATGTTTGAGCCAAAGTGTTGCAATCTCTACAGGAAGCCCCAAGACACTCAAACCATATAATTATTGAATCAGATCAACCTGAGGCTTCAAGATTTGGTGCGGGTTTCCACCAATTTGTGGCATTCTGTGATGTGGTGACTGGATAATGGATGTTGTTGGTAAATGTTGATATACAAGTCAACTTTGACAGCATTGTAGTAGACTTGGAAGCCACCATTAGGCTACCATGTTTTGAAGTGCAGTCTTCACTCCTGGATAGTGGCAGAAGATTGAAGCCATCGCAGCAACTTCTGCCGGCGATCCAAAATGCTGCCGCCTTTCAGCCTCCGCACTGACAGGGCAGGTGATGTCAGTGATGTCTTGTAATTGTATGTAGCCGTCCAGAGCTTTGTTGTTCTCTTGACCCAGGGGACCGCATATGTTCTGGCTCACAGGATAGATCAGGATACACAATCACCAAGAAAAACATTTTCCCTCCAAACCCAGGGTTCGCCCGCACTCAATAAACAACACATCCAAACAATATGATATACTTATCACCAGAGGATGAATGAAAACACTGGCTATACGCAGTGATTTTGACTTTGAGTTTTCAGGATTTAGGGTTTTAGTTTAGGGTTTTAGGCTTTTAGGTTTTCGGGTTTCAGGGTTTTATGTTTCATGCATTGACAAGCAACGAGATGAACAGGTCAAAGCAGGCCCCTTGGCATTACCTTTAACTTCTTCCAAAACGTAGAAATGTTGGGGTGTCTTGAGTGAAGAAATCATCTGCCACACCAACCTGGAATCCTGGAATAACCAACCTACAGGTTTGAGCCCATCTTTGCCAATTACTTGCCTCGGCGTCTTCCAAACCTTTGCTGACCTGATCTGACCAGTTTGAGAGTCTGAGGTAAACAAACAAATGTAAACTTCCTGATCAAACATCCGCTTGGATGTGGGGATCCCAATGAGAAGTCTGCAACAACACTGACTTGAATTGGGGTAGCAGCGATATAGGAGTGAACGACTCCGCTTATAAGTATAAGTACCAGTACCAAGAAGATCAAAGACGTCCGGCTCTTGAATCCTCTCTATCGTGCTGCTTTGCAAGAATGGCACTTATCCCTCTCCCCCAAAAAAGTGGCAATTCTGTCAAACAAGATCTGGTTCAGGTGTCAAACCGGACTTGATCCTCAACTGTGAAGCTCTGAGATCCGTGCACATGAATTGGCTTTTGCCCATCCTGAGTTCAGCTGTGGCGAGGAAATGCCTGTGGTTTTCCAAGTGATTTTGTTCTGTAGTCGGGCCTCGCAACAGCAAGACCTAGAAAGACCTCTGATCCCACAAAGTGACACCACCAAATTGTGAGGCAACCTGGCAGACTTGCATTAATATATGTCATATCATCATGATTCATCATGTATTATTTTCTATAATTATATAATATTGTATAAATATATATAAATATAACTGTCAATCCAACATAACTCCAACTGCGTTTTTATCAATCCATGACTTTTCGTGGCCTCCATAGACTCTGACTGCTCAGTCTGCTCGGATTCTGGAAACCTCATTGAGGCCCGGCCCAGAGCCAGGTTTCGGGATGAGACTGGATACCCACTGGATCCCACTGCTACGGTTGGCTCATTGGTTGCACAAACATGAAGAAAGTGTGATGAAAGGCAAAACAAAAGATACAAAAGGTCCAGTGGCAAATTCAGGCCTCAACAGAATTCTGTTGACATTTGTTTGCAAAGATCAGAACAACAGTATTTTATAGTATTTTCATGTATTTGCTAATGGAGAGGAAAGGAGTCGCGCAACACTTTGCTGCCATGGAGCCTTCGCTCGGCGAAGGATCCATCCTCAGCAAATTGCTGATTCGGAAGCTGCTTCCTCCACTCCCATGACCCATGATGACCCATGATGACCCATGGCTGCCATGGCTTGTTTTTCTCTTTTTTTCTCCGTTGGATGCCTGGGCTTTGGACGTCTGATGCAGCGGACCTTTTGATCAAAACCTCACTCATTGCCAAGCAGCTGGTGGCTCGTAGGCCGTGGCCATGTTGGCAATAAAGATGACATAGCAAACCTCGAGGACAGGCTCAGAAGCAATGCTGATTGAAACGAGATGGAATGATGCAGCTCAAAGAGCCGATTCTAGCGTAAGATGATCACCTGCTCTATGAAGTTGCTAGGCTGCAGACTCCGGAAAAAAGCAAAGAAATTCCAAGGATCACCTTGGTTCGTCAAGGAACAGCAGGGCAAGGCAATCCGCGTGAGAGCCGTAGGCATTGGATGCAAGACCAAAAAGGAACAAAAAAACACAGCTTCTAAGAAAGGCATCAGAGGCTTTTCGGCTGCTTCCAACTCCAGGCATTCTCGGCAACAAATATTCGCACTTATTGGATGTGCTCCCCAACCAGTATACATAGTATTCCATGCTCCTTTTCCATGCCAAGCATCCCTGAAGCTGCAAAACCTTGGCCACCCAAAAGTGTGCTCCGGTTGACATCGTGCCAACACTTTAGTTGACAGATATACTGCAGACACTGCAGAGGAAAACTAAACACATTATATCTACATTAATATGATCATATATGTACGTATGTATAGCCAGAGTTACAGCTGTCCTTTTGTTCGATTCTTGGGAACAACATTGGAAAGCAGCACTACACCGAAACATGGGAATGTCGTACTGAAATATACTGCACTGTAAATCAACAGGAGCCGGTGAGACGAATCCTGCCAAGCCCAAATGCAAAACTTACTTTTGACTTCTGGAAGCAGTACAGCATGTCTTCCAGCTGCTATCAATGAGATAGTAGTTAAATCTAAGTGTATCTACATCTATCTACCTCAAACCACAAGAATCTAACATGTGCATATATATATATTATTATATATTATCCCGTGTCTCGTGTTCACGGTCGTATGAGGGGATAGCCATATATATATATATATACTGTATATAATTTATATATACATATATATATATACCAGTACATACAGATACACACATACTTGTTATTGTATGTATCCATTTACATATAGGGACCATCACCATCTCGGGGAGGAGGGGGGATCAACAGAGGTAGACCCAGGCTTCCCAGCGTTGTTGCCCTTTCAGGACGTGATGGAATAGGAGACAGCATTCCAAACAGATCCTGTTTGCAAACGGCAAACATGTTGGGCAAGCTCCTTAAATCAATAATAATATAAATATACTACTGTAATATAATCATATAAGCATAATCAATATCTCTTTGAAAGATGCTGTGACTCAAAGGCCAGCTTCCGTTATGATACTTTCAATTGAGGAGAGTAAACCTGGACACACGATGAACAAAATTAGCCTGCCACCATGATATTCCAGGCCAAAAATCCCCGAAGTTAAAAACCCTATCCTCAGTCTGGTCTGGCTGGGCGAGCGTTGGCAGGCTACTTTTCTTATCCCTGTCCTGTCTTTTCTGGTATCTGACTCCATAGACTCACCGCGTGGTTGTTTTTCACCACCTTAGGCCGTCAGGGTCGGCTTCAAAGAGAACTGCACATCAAACCATCCTCAGGAACAAAGGATCCTCTTCTGGGCTGTCATCTCGTGCCATTCTTTTGAAACGTGTCCAATGATAAACTTTGGCACAATTCGTCAACAACTGTATACGCGGCATCATACCACTAAAGGTACCTAAAAGTGAGAACCACACTAGACGTCAGCAATCGTCACATCGCCGCACAGTTCCCCGCCAGATCTATCACCTGGAGGTTATCCCTTTCACAAATGTTCACAATAGATTCGGATCAAAACTGATCGAATTCATCAAACCTGAAAATGATCAAAAACGTCTGGCTGCGAATTCAGCCTCGGACACGCAGCGACTTCACCAGGTTCACCACCAGTCGCTACTTCATAGCTGGAGTGCCAGTGGTTTCACGACTTCCAATGGGGAAACAAAGGGCCCTGCTGATCTGCAGCTTGAGATCTTGTGCAAAGACTGTGGCCCCAAAGTTGAGGAGAGGTACCAAAATTTGGCTAAACATTTTCCACCCCTTCTGCTGTATCCCAAAGACCAGTTGAATCTCTGCCACTTTGCCCTTGCTGCCAGTAGAACCAAATGAAGCAGGTGACAAACCAAGGGCGTAGCAAATCTCGAAACATGTCCCTTCCTCCAGATCTTCATAGCAGGATCATTGCTTGGACCATGGTTGTTTTTCTTGCTGAGCCAGTAATCACAATCGAAACAGAGTCTGATGCAGTGCGATGTTTAATTGTGCAGGTTGTTGCTTGTTGATTTGTTCTGGGATTCCAAGGGCTGGCATGGAGATCTTAGTATGCTGTGTTTAGGAGTGATGTCGCAAGTCAGTCAGTTGCGTCAAAGTTGAGCGGACAATCGCGCTTGGCCAACCTCTTTCTTGAGCTTCTTGACATCGTCACTTTCCGCTTCCCAAAGAGTTTTGCCTCTGGTGCTCTCGTGTCGTCCAGTCTGGAAAATGCTCACATGGAGGGATGGTGGGTCATTCAATGTCTGCCCACTTTGCCCATGTTATCCAATGGTTGCCCTATCTTGTTGCCGCAAACGAATGCAGATCTCTGGCACAACATCGCACAATCCCAGCAAAATCAGCGAACCTATCGCAATGTACTCATCCAAGTACCTGCAGCAAGTTGCAGCAATCTCCTGACCCAAGTTTCAAGAAAGCAACTTCTCGGACAATTACAAGCATACAACTAGAAGCACCCAGGGCCTTTGATGCCTTTGATGCCTATGTAATCCCTCTGATATCCTTTGAATGCATCTCAATAATATAAAATATCCCATGAGTCTCATGTGATCTTTACCAGTCTGTTGGCATTACAGGAAAAAGCAAAACAATATTGCACAGTTGCTGTATCTTCCTTAATTTTCTTGTGCTTTTCTTGACACTCCGTTCAATCCATACAGTACATTGGCGGCGTACCATCTCTTGCTGGCCACTTCTTCAGCTCCAGGTCTCAGGAAGGCAATGTACCTCCACTGGGATGACACAACCGGCAGCCAAACAAAAACAAAAACACAGCACATACCCTCTGGTAATTTAACGTAGCTATTGAAAATGGCCATTAATAGTGGATTTTCCCATTAAAAATGGTGATTTTCAATAGCTATGTTAAATTACCAGAGGGTAACACACAAAAACGGTAAACAAATGTAAACAATGCCAACATCAAATGTACGAGTAAAGTGAAGTAGAGATTTGCAAATTGCAACAAACTTTACCCTTTCTCACTGTGAGGCTTTGACACATTACATAAAGATACATGAAGAACATAATATGGACATGAATGATCATGGATGGGTGATAGCCGGCATCCTGCGTCAAAGTCGATACTTTGCCCACCTGCCATCTGTGGGCTCCAGCTCGATTGCCTTCCAGAGCTTCATGGTGCTTCCAGTTCCGATGCGTCCGATGGTTCCCTTATCCACTCTTCTTTTTTTTCATCTTAATATATACTCTATGCTAAAAATCAACTGACAGCAAATACATTGTTACATGCACATACTATCAAATACTATATTAATCTACTATATTATAAATGCTGTCAACATGAGCATCGATGCTGGTGCCTGAAGCCATCAACTGCAGAAATCAGAATTTGAAAAGGCCAAATTTATCCAAATTTCAGGTCGGAAAACATCAGTTACGTTCGTGGCCTTCAACTGTGCATTGCGTTTTGCTGCAGGAAGCAAAACCTCAGGGCATCCATGGGGCATCCATGGCCCATCGACCTTCATCCCTAGTGATGTGGGAGTTCTGGGCGTCGCACATGCAAGGTCGAGGCCACAAAGAACTGTCGGTCCATATACTCGCCATCGGCCTGTAGCCACAGGCGTCCAAGTATTGGAATATATTGGAATCTATATGGGTAGCCATATGTGGCCCTGTATCTTTCCATCGAGTTTAGGGACGATCGCTCTTGAAGTCACAAAATGTCACAACGAGCGATTCTGAAGGTTGGCAAATTGCCAAACGAATTCACAAACGAAGAATGCAAGTGAGTGAAAAGTAGTAAGAATGTGCTGACTACATCAAATTCAGAGGTATGGTAGAAGGCGGGACCAGCACTTATGCAGAGGTGTTTTGCTGAAACAACATCTTAACTTAATTTGTACTCCTTGTAGCACTACTCATGTCTCCCACATGCCGCATCGTTGGCATCCGGTGAATGGCGGGCGCACCCATGTGTTCTGGAAAAAGTGTCGTTTCACCTTGATTGTTCGTGGGCTGTGGGTAGAAGGCAACTCACCAGAAGACGTTCAGAAGCCAGAAAGTCGAGTCAACACCTTTTCAGGAGGACCAGCCTTGGCTGCGTTCATGTATATTCGTATGTCAAGGTCAAGGTTTGGGGTGGTATCACAAATTCAATGGGAGCCCGGCGAGTGACCCTCGATCTCTGAACGACTCAGGAGAGAGTGGTCTTATCCTTGGCAGCAGCGAAGGGGAGCGACCATGGGCTGCTGAGGTCTCAGTTCTTTCATGCGGTTTTACTATTTGGACCACCTGGATGTTCTTGAAAGTCGAAGGTGACAAAAGGATGGCTTTTTCCCGTCACTGCAAACAAATCAGCAAAATGTTCTGTCGTCCACACATTGTGCTGTTTCGAAAGTTGTTTCGCACTTTTTGAAGTCGGGAATTTCACAGATAGACTTTCCTCTGGGTAGCGGGTAATCGCTGTGGGGCCAGCTGTCCGAGGCCCCTGCCCACTCTGCATGAAGGCCACTGTGTGCCGTGCCAAGACACACCTGCAGCTGTCGGCGTCGGGGTCTGGAGTGGTCGAACCGTTCCCAACATGGTCTTTGTAAAAGAGTAGAATATGGCACATGGCGCAGACCCACAAAGGATAGCTGGATAGCTGGTTGGTTTCAATCCTTTCTGTTGGGCGTCAGAACGAGGAATGTATGTGGCTGTCTCTTGGGCAAAATCACACTCCCGTCAAACCTTTTGGGACCACTTCACTATCATAAGACCCATTAGTCACTGTCTGTGCCCCAGAAGTGCTTGGGAATGATATGCTACTGGCTGCTTTTCCCACCCTTTCGAGACGGGCACACTGCCAAGGATACGAAGCAGCGAGGAGTAGAAAGCCGCCTCCTGCCCACAATTTTTACTGGGAACAAATAATGCCAAAGTTAGCAAAGTGACTCAATATTTGATATATTTGTGGGGAGTGACCAAAAACAAGTGGAGTCCGCAAAGTTCAATTTGAAACTACAGCTACATGAGATCAAGCATATTGCCAAAATACATCAGCGTTGGATTCCCTCTAGTGCTGTGGTTGAAGGCTGGGTTGACTCCCCGACTACAGGAAGAGTGGACTAGGAGTGTGAAGAACTCTGACCTCTTTCTTGAACAACGTGGGATTTCACCCGGTTGAAGGTCGGAGATATCGGGAGATTGATGGAGATTGATAGAGTTTGGAGACTTATGAGATTTGTTTTGTTCGTCCATCCTATGGCTCACATAGCCCAAGGCGTCAGAATATTTTTCAAGCCGGGGATCTTGGATAACAAATCACCCTGTCCATGGCCTTGCAGATTGAGCAATCAAGAACTGAATAGAAATCACATGAAATCACATCTTTCCAGCAAAACGTCACAATACAATTCTCTAGAGGCGGTCCTGTACTTCCAATGCGCACTCTCTGGGAGGTCCATTGTGACAGTGAGCTTTGGGTTTGAATCGACACCGCTTTTGCTGCTTTCCACCAGCTGTGTAGAATTGCAGAACCGCATCCATGTTTAGACACATTCTTTTGGAGGCTTGAATCTGACTTGTATGCAGTTGAAACAGAATTGTATGCTGTATGCAGTTGAAACAGAATTGCCACAGCAACTTGGCAACGGAGCCACAAGCTCCTTGTTCCTGCTGAAGACTTGGTGCATGGAAGAATCCATCTGAAGTGTTGCTGCAGCTGCACTTGCAGCATGCTTCCAAGAGCCAAACAAGCAGCTTCGTTAAACTTTCAATTGTGCTGGGAAAAGCCAGAGACTATCTCTGCGCCCAGGACCTGTAGGGGTTCGCTGTAAGTAAATGTAGGGAATCTAGACGATGCCGTTCACTTTCAAAAGGTTGCTGGCAGCTTCATCAATGCGGCTACTAATTTCCCTCAAGCTGAAGAGGAGGAGCTAAGAACAACGGTGCAACCCTCTGCAAAGACAGAGGTGCCACTTTTTGCCAGCTACAGTCCGACCACTCTGCATTGATTTCAAGCGGCCAAACCTATCCTCAAGTTTACCCTGAAGCTGCTCCAGCATGCCTTGGGCGAGGTAGGCTGACTCGTCTTCCCCCCCGCACAGAAACAGTTGACACACTTGGTTGGATACTGCAGAAACAACTACCCCCCTCTGGTGTCCTTGCAACCCAAGGGTGATAAACATGACTGTCTGGGTCCGTCGACTGTTCACATGCATCAGACCAACCTGGGTCCGTGAGCAGCAAAACGAGACTCAAATCCCTTGCAAAGCTCTCTCCCACAGCGCAACCCTTAAGTCAAACACATCCTTCAAACTTTGCAAGTCCATGATCTAAATCTGTTATCAATCAATTTGATGCCAATCTGACTCATGCGCTCAAACTTTCTGCGCTTTGAACGATAGGATCTTGGTCCTGCAACGTCTTCTGCGTCAAGTATGGTCAGTTTGTCTCTAGTGACGAGTGCTAAGAAGTGCACCACTGCGACGCAGCGTGTTGGAGGGGCATCAAGCGCAACCTGTTGTGCACAGCCTAATTGTGTTCGACAAAAGTCAGAACCCGAGATGATGGTATGTGAATCAGCAATTGTGTGTGTATGAACCAAGTATATTAGTATAACAGTATATCGAATAGTTATATATAATGAATATCATATCCTATTGATTTGATAGGCATGTGCACCAAACCCTTGGCATTCTTTGAAGGACATGCTTGCTGCTTGCTTACTGCTCAATGGAATCCAAGCAGTGGCAATGACCTTCTCTACCACGATCATCTTTGAATCCATCGATATCCTACACATCTGCTGGTGCTTCATGGCTATCTTGAGTGCAGATCGCGCTCGCACAAAATGTACACGTATTCACTGATATGAGCTCGTCTAGACTTAGGCTGCAAGATTTTTGGCTCACGTGCTGCCTTTGCCGGCTCTACAGCCCAGTTCTATGATGTTCTATGCAGGAAACGGTAGCTCCATCTTCCTTCCCTGAACTGAGACCCAAAAGGCAACACAAAGCAAAGACTCACTTGGATACAAACACCGAACTTTGGGCTCAAAAGGAAACACCATGGAACAAAATGAACAAATTTGGAGATCCAACCATCGCACATTTCTTGCATCGCTATCTCCCTGGCAAGTCAAATGCTGGGCAGATGGGCCCAGCATGGCCCAGCATGAAAATCAATGACTTCGGTCGCCTCGGAGGCTGCGACAGCTGCGAATGTCTTCTCCCCTGTGCAAAGGGGCATTCCCAGCAGAGCTCCAAAGATTTGTCAATTTCCGTGAGCAACTCGCCTTTTGGAACAGCCCAAAGAGCGCCAAACCTTGGTTTACTTTGCTTGTGGCAATCCAATTGAAAGTCGCAAGCTTGGCCTATCTTTGACCACAAAACTCCACCACAAAACTCCTTGACACTGAACAAGATCTTAACGACATCACAAACTGGCAGTTTCCAGTTCGCAAACTAGTTTCACATGGCTTGCCGCCAGTGCGCTACGCAAGACAGCGCTGGATCCAGTACTTCACAAGTGAAGAAACTGCTGGAACTCAATGGTTGAAACTGAAAAGACAGCCTACCTGAGAATCTGAGAAGCAAGCTCATCAGAAAAAATGTTGCAACTTGCCGTTGTAAGTACTTCAGAAGTGCCTAGCAGGGCCGTTGCTTGACTGCCCCAAGGATCTTTGACACATCTGCGTAGGGTAGCCCCACAGCCGTGTTAAGGATGAATGAAGCTGAATGAATCTGATTAGCTGTTTGATGCAATTTCTATGTTATTGTATTGAAGACCTCCTGATCATTGCGCTTCAATGCATGCCTCTTGCATACTAGTCATACTATTGCCATTTCTAATGTTTCTATTTCTATTATTTCCAAACATCGCGGCGGGTCCAACGAAAATGAAACACTTGCATCTCATCTTGTAGTCTTGGAGTTACTGTACTGTGCATGCCTGGTGTGACCACACATGACCACACAACCAACCCCTTTCCAAGTTCAGGCAAAATGGTATGGTACGTCATGATGCATGTCATGCTATGCGACGATATGCGACGTAAACATTCCCATATGTACCACATTGTACCACCAAGCTGTTGAGGTTCTCATTGGATCACCAATCAGGTCTGCTGTAAATGCTGTAAGTCATGCTCGAAGTTTGGAGAGCCTTGGGTTTGCCGCTGATCTATCAACCAAAGTCACTTCGGCAATCCCGCCTTTCACCTCAAGCCTCCAACGCCGCCGTTGGTCCTGCAGGTGTTTTTTTAGTCATCTCTACAGTTGTGCAGATTTCTGCAGAGGAGATAGAAAATGATAGAATATGATAGACATAAAACTTGATAGACCTGCAAAAAGTCATGAAGTTCATGATACCTCTGTGCAAAAAGTCGTCTGCGACCTGTCTTGACTCCGTCCATCTCCGTCCATTTTTCTATATCTTTTTCTTATCTGGCACGGGCTGCAGCTACCAACGGCTCGGGCTCAGCTGCTTCTCTTCTTGTAGATGAAGAAACCAATGCCGCCCAGGAGAAGAACCACCAGCACGGTCGAAAGAATGAACACCCAGGCACCTGCCAGTCGCAAGTAGACTAAGTAGACCAGTGATTAGAAAGTCGAAAGCTGATGAAAACCGCGGGTTACAAATTCAGCGGACAAATCCTCTACAAGCTTCATAACAGTTATAGCATCATCAGTCATAAACATGAATTAGCATAGAACACAATGAAGCGCGGCAGCGACCAACGTGGCCAAGCCACACCAGGAATGTCAATGTGTGTGTGGTTTGATGCCATGTCTGAAACCTGAGTGTGTTGTGTGCGCATGTGTTGAGGTAGATGATATATTAAAATACGTATATTAAAATATATTAAATATAATTTAAATAGAATAGAACTATAGAACTCAGAGTTGTTCAGAATTCTAGATATTCTAACAGCTTGCATCAGCTTGCAATCCAGGCCTGTGCGACAATATCCAAGCTGTGAAACGGAAAGCCTGGTGATCAAATTCTGCATGTCCTCCACCTTTCCCATTCTTGGAGATGTCGCACAAACATCAAGAAAACTGGGGCACTTGCAGCCGAGGTCTTTCAAACCACAGCCCACACCGTAGTCATAGCCATCGGGAATGACGTCAAACTCCCTAGGACAGGTCCTACCTTTGACGGTAGTGCCCAGGGTCCTCTTGATGCCATTGATGGCTTCCTCACTCAAGACTTCGGCCTTTCCTTTGAAGAAATCAAAATTGAACTCTGGGTCCATCAGCTTCGCGTCGGCCTTCTCGGCCTTCTCGCTGACCAGAGAGATGTTTTCGCCAAGCTTTGAGTCACCCTGATCTGTATGGGATTGCTCTACGGTGTGCACCTTTTGCGACTCATGCGAGATGCTCTCCATCTTCACCAATTCTTCCCCCTGGAATCAAATGTTTTGGATATTTTCTTGGGCTGAACTGGGTTTCTTTTCATGAACCCTACTTGCCCCTTCTACTTCGGAAACAGCATTGAAATCCACGTTTTGCCTCCCTGTAAACTCGGACTTCGACAGAAAAACAAACAGGAAAATAAATTACGGAGTGCCAACACCAACCTTGTGCTGGTCGCTTCGCATGCCCGTGGCTAAGACAAAAAGCGCGCAAACGATCTTCACGAACATCTTTGATGCAAACAACGGAATGAGAGGATATGCTGGATATGAGAGGATGCCAACACTGAGCTGCAAAAGCGGCGCAAGTTGGCGAACTTGTGCAAGTGACCTATCAAAGGGACAAAGAGATACAGAATATGATTGCAGAATATGTCCTGTTGCTATTTATCTATTTATTATTATTTATTTATATATTTATTTACTTATTCCATTGGTTTCTCTCTAACGTTCGTTCGAAAATCTCGAAATTTGCAAGGTCTCAGAGCCAAGAATAAGGGGCTAAGATTGCAAGATATTGCAAGTAATGAACTCACGACAAACTTAAAATGCTTGAGTACTTCGGTTTACTTACGGTCCATGTGGCAATGGGAATCAACTTGACAAACTGCGCACATGCTAGCAGCTGTTAGCACTGGTCTCCTCACCCATACCTTCAACGATTTTCTGCACTTCGACGACTCGAACCTGTACTGATTCCCCAAACATGTGCACACACACAGTCACTAGCAACTGTAAATGACTCCTCCCTCTAAAACAAACCTTTGAGAATGTGTGGCAGGAAGACGTTATTGTGACTGTGGTTGGACGAGGAATGACAAGGATACGAGGGATGACACTAGAGAATGCAATAAGATGCAATAAGTACTATAACGGTTTAGATAAAGCGTTGGATGAAACATATGACGGGTCATCACGGGTCATCTACTGCAAGCAACAAATATATGCTCTCTTGACACCGTCATTGTAATGATGCCGCTTTGTGATGCTCTGCTCATGGATCAATCCAGCTTTGTGCACGAGGCTAAAGCTACTAAGCCACAGGCTTTGGAGTCGAGGATCACCTCCACCTGTGCTTCGCAAAGGCTTTATCCTTAAATATCCTTCAATGATATCATTTGTGCTTAGATTCATCATGATTCAAAAATTAAATATATTTCATGCTGAGTCATGCTGGACAAACCTGGTGAATCACGTCTTCTCGCCGGGCATCACTCACAGGCATCCAAAAAACCCAGCTCCCACGCCTCTACAGCCAATGGTGGAAGTTCTTCTGGATTCTGCGGAGATTCAGCCTGGAGAATATCGAGACTGGTGACAAATTGCTGGAAGCCACATCGACCACCTCACGAGTCACATGACAATACTGACAATACTCGTCAACTTGGAGGCGAATTGGCCAGTCCGTGCAAGGAATGCTCTGCAAGACTGCTCTATAAAGATTTTGATTCAACTCCTTTGATCAAGTGCCACCTGGATTCAGCATTAGTATGAAGCCTTTCAAGAGTTGACGGGCGGTGTCTCGTTCAGTTGAAAAAGTACAATCTTGAGACTTCGACCCCATCACAGTTTGCGCCCATTCGACTGAGATCTTCGCTTCATTTTGCCAAAGGTTCTTGGGCCTCTCTATGCCCACAGGCGCATAAGCCTAAGGCTTCGAGTTGAAGCCGCCAAAAAGGATGGTTCGAAAGACTATGCTCGAGTCTAACTCCATTGTAGTTGCTAAAGTTGTTGCATCTGCTTGAAGGCATGCCAAGACTACCTTGTGATTTTGTGAATTCAACAAAAGACTTTCAATCACTTTATGGCTCACTCTTGGTTGCTCCTCAAATCGGGTGGCTGTCCCCTTGGTGTTCACTGCTTTTGTTCACTTTCCTTTGTCCGACTGATCTGCCTAGCCTGCAAGTCTGACCACTTTGCATAGAGGCAACAACATGTTACAGTTGCTGTGCTGCTACATTTGTGGTTTGCAGGTTTAGATAAGGTGTAGAACTCTTTCTTTCTCAGCGGTCGAAGTAAATGTCAATCCAGCACGACACTGACAGCACAATGATTCTGACCGGCCAAGTCTAAACATATCTGCAAGAGTGTTCTAGATACTTGACTCAACTCTGCAAAGATATTATATCATATGGAATCCTGTAGATGTGTAAAAAGAATCACATCTAGATACAGTAAGAGGACAATGTCATCTCTCCGCGTCCCTTTTGTGCATTCTCCAATGTAAACGCAACATTTAGGAAGTCATCCCTTTGTCGTCCCTTTGAGCTAAAGAGGATCCAAACGGATCTTGTCCATTCAAGGTATCCAGTGCTATCGTATGCTGTTGGGCCTGTTGGGCCTGGCTGATCAAGGCACTACAGCCATACGTAGTCCAGGTCTGGCTTCACCCGCCTCCTCTGGATGAAGCGATAGTGATAGGGAGATGAAGGAGAAACATGGAGAAACGGCATCCCAATAATGGCAAGATACGGCAAGAACTGTCTGTGAGGACCGAGAACTATATTTGTATATATATATATATGTATTTATTTATGTACAATTATAATCAACTATATACATTATATACATGTATGTTCATGCCTCCATGCTTGAACTATCTTGAACTATTCAACTCTTGGCTCTGCTGCACTTCAATCTCGTCCTACTGATGATCATACAGATCACCTGAACTCTCCATTTCAAACACTGAGATTGATTGATTTGCATAGCACGTGCAGAGACTGACCCCAAGCCCAAAGACAAACGACACTTTTGCATGTCAAGCCTTCAGTTGGTCAAAGAGTCGCAAGAAACGCGGCTCAAAGAGGCTCAAATTTCTCACCTGACATGCCATGCTTAGGCAAGACTTGCAGGTCACATAGCATCGCGGGTTGGTTTTGCAAACAAGTTGTAGAAAGGATTGGAGGGTTACGATACTGATGAAACCATTATGCTTGGATTAAAAACATGAGACAATGCTGGAGCATATGCTCGACCTCTTGGAAGCCCGCACTGCGTAGCAACGGAACCACAATTCGATGGACATCGTTTTGGATATTTTTGGATCATCCACCCAAAGCTGCAGCATGACGTCATGCCCTGGCAAGCTAGCAGCAGCTGGCAGCAGCTAGCAAACCCTCCCCAACTTCATTAGAGCCATTGAAATACAAACCCATCTCAACAACTCAAGCCAACCCACGTGAGAGTTTTGAGCCAACTCTCAAATGCTCAAAACATGTAAGTTGCAAGCATCAGCTCATTGACTCCAGAATTATTTGCAAGTCAAAGATAGTCAAAGGCATTTTGGCACTGTGGAATCCTGCAACTTCCCTCCCATCTATGCTGTTGTGCTACGGCAGTCAGTTTTTCTGGATCGCACGCCTCGTCTTCTTCCAAAGGACGGCGCAATGTGAAGAGCGGCAGCCAAGAAGAAGCCACTTCTGAAGGCCTGCTGCATCACTTCATCAATTTCATTCCGAGCCAAAAACCAATGGACACCGACATACACCGACTGGAGCGGTTCATTCCTGGCACTCTGTGCTTTGAATGTGCAACTTGTTGGATGACACAAGTCGCACAAGAAGAACACGTGGGAATGAAGTCACTTCTGTCCCAAAGTGAGTCGTTAGCACATATCATAGCACCATTCCCAAGGGCAACGGCAATCAACAGGTTGTATCATGATGTATCATGAGCAGCTCCCATTGCACATCAATGACGATCGATTTCTGTCAAAATTCCATCGGCCGACCTCTGCCTGAACTGCAATTTTTGGACGGTCGAGTTGGAACCTGGCTCCGGTCAGCAAGTGTGTGTGTCTTTGTCTACCACAGCATATTCACAAGGTGCTTGCCAACAAACACATAGTCAACGTAACGAACTCGCAACCTTCCTTTTGACATCTTTTGACTATCCTGGATCTTGCAGAATAGGGGGCGGCAAGCAACAAGTATCTCCAACTTCCAAACTGTTTTTTCTAAATGGATTGGAACAACAACCATATCTTTGCCGTTCTCGGTTCCCTTCAAGCTCTGATGAGTTCTGAGTGGCTTCTGCAAGCAAAAGTTCCTTCAAGCGTTAGCCAAACCTGTGGCATGTAGTCTGAAAGGGCATGGAAACTGCCCTTGGATTTTCTCCTAGAATTCTATCTTGTGCCTGTCATTTCAATCAGTGTGAACACATGCTACATGATGTGTATATGTGTAAATGATTGCTGCTCCTACCACCAAATGAAACAACCCAGGGATGTCTTTTCCCGGTCCCGCCTGGATATCTAGCCGTGGCAGCACGCTTCAGCACCTGGATGTAATTGAAAGAGCTTCGACGGCAGAAAGATATCATGATGCTTCCATATCCCATCCGAGATATCCGAGTCCGTAAGTGAGGACAAGTGTTGATTCTACGGTTGAAGATCCTTACTTTTCATGAATGCACCGGCATTCGAAATACAAAGCAGCCACCAGCACGAAGCCAGGTTTTGCAGGCAGCCAAAAAACCCGTGGTCAAATCATGGCCTTCGGGGGCAAGCTCTGCGTACCATCAGAATTTGGTTCCGCTGCTTGAAGCTGTGATGCATCGGTCGTGAGCGAAGCAAGGCAACAGGGTTCCAAATTGCCGTCGGGCGGTATGTTCGAGCATCATGACAAATATCAAGGCAGTCTTTTCACTGAGATTAAGCGGCGTGCTGCCGCCGCCCAAGAGCTTTTTAGCCACCTGGATCGTTCAGCCACATACCAAATCAAAAGCAGACTGCAAGAATCAGCCAAAGAAGGGTGCCCTTCTCCTTTCTATTTGTTCTGCTTCCAAACTATTGTTGAGTTTCCCAGTCCATCTCTTGATTCCAAAAAATCAAGATTTAGACAAACAGACAAACAAAGCAATGTAGTCCAAGAAAAAATATCAGCGAAGAAGAAGGCAGGCGTGAGTTGGTCGTAGGTCTCTATAGATTGAACAGTCACAACTAATTCACGTCTCTCGATCTGTACTATCTTATGCTTTGCTAGAACTTCAATCTCATTGGCTTCCACCAGGCCACCAGGCAAAGACACATCACGCAAGTGACAAAAAGGTCTTGGAAATTGGAAATCCATATAGTCTTGATGAAGTCTGCAAGTGGATGAAGTGGAAGGATTTATGTTGTTCAAGAGGTCTCTCAATGGTATGACAGCAAATGCAAGGTAGTGGTGGCCTGCAATGTACCACTCCTCTCGCCTAACAATGAAGTGTCACTAAAGTGCTCGATGAAACGAACACAACATGACACGTCATGAAGCTATGTACAACATGTTTGGTATCTTTTGTAGGCCAGCAAAGAAACAGCATTGAATGAATAGCCACTGGCTGAGCCCTTCCAGCCAAATAGGCAGGGTCACCTTTTGCTCTCGCATAAGGTCCGTCACTTGCAAGAGCCTGCAGTGACAAAATCACCAGACATGCCTTGGCACTGGGATGAACAGAAAGTTCCCAGAGAAACTTCTAAGGTTTACTATGGTTTACTTTTGCTGGAGTAATCATTGGAGCCCATTCTGATACTACTTCTTTTGAAAGCACGCCGCTATTGATTCGAGGATTCTAGACATGACATTGGACTATACGTACCTTTCAAGCTGAGTCTGCACTAGCAGCTTTGGCAAAGTTTACTAAAACTTTTACACACAGACCGAAACAATCAAGATCGTCAAGTGGTCTGCCTGGAAGCCATGTGCGAGTCTCTGGATTCTAAGAAGGACAGCATGTAGGCACTTCCCACGATCTCAGTGGATGCAGTAAGCACTAGTAAGCACATGCCAAATATGCCAAATGCAGCCAAAGTGAGCCAAATTGCCTAATTCATCCGCTCCTCTGCTTTCTGTACCAGAATGATCGGACCGTAAATCATAAGAATCGTATAATATCGTATGTAGGAATGTATAATATATAAGGAATATATATATAATATAATATAATTATATGATATATAGGAATATAGGATACGTTTCATGGACAATCGTGGTCGATCGTTGACGATCGTAGACAATCATGGACAGTTAACTGGCACAGCGCACGGCGCAGCGCTTGGTCACGCTTAGCCAACAGGGCCAACATCACAGGTTGGATATTGGATCATGCCATATCATGCCAGCTTCATGTATAAACTTCAGGTCGAGCTTCACAATGATTATCATGCAGGAGGTGCTCTCCCCCGCAAGACACCGCTAGGGACCGAACAAGTGCAATCACAAGGCCAAACAACGCAGTAGCCTGAGATTGTTCAAAAATGTTCAAAGTGTCAGGTAAAGCATCAGGGCAATAGTAGAACTACCAAGTGTGTGCACAACGAGACTGTGCTTCTTGGCCTCCAATCTTCGCCAGTGCAGGCAAATATATGCAAATATATGAAACTCGATCATCTCTATCAAACTCAAAGACGGGCAAAACATAATGAGGTCTTCCAGCATCTTCCAGCTTATAGCTTCCAATTCCATGGTGGCTGAAGAAAATGAATGAACATGATGCACGTGTTGCTGAGGTCAGTGCCACATCAAAAATCCCTTGCAAATCCATCCTCTGCAGCCCTTGGAAACACAAATCGTGCACCAATTTGGTCGTGAAGCGGATCCAAACCGTTCAAACAGATCCGCCCTAGATTCGATATGGAACAAGAACTTGCAACATCGAAAACAACTGCAATTTCTACTTCAGTACAGAGAAAACAACTGCCAGTGGTGTATATTAAAAAAAAATGAGAAGGTTCAGTCTAATGTGTGCACAGCGCTGATTGAATCAACTGGTGAGAGCATGCTGTGTCTTGGATGTTGCAAGGTTCCACTCCATCTGGTATCAATCCGCACCTTTCTATAAACACTGCACTTGTGCTGATTAAAATGCATCTAGATGCATCTAGAACTTGTCTCGTCTTATCATGACTATGTTCATTCAATTGGACTTCCCAGAATGTTCGATCCATTTGTTCCACTAGCTGCCATTGCTCGCGCGCAGAAGCCTTCAATGTTCTGATCCATGCCATTTCCTGGTGCTGAAGGTGGTCAAGAAATGCCCAAAATCTAAACACATTTACGCAGCTGTATAAATGGTTTTGCACCACCCACCAAGCCAAGAACTATCCACGGAGTTGGCTTGCGTCCTCTCTTCAGTACTGTTGAATCGTAGTGCTATGCGTCGGCTGCAAACTTCAAACTTGCGATTTGTTTTCCTAAGAAAAAACAACAATTTTCGATTTTGCCACCCATTGCACAAGTACAACTGATGTGCATGGAGTTCCTCACACTCGCCAACTCACCCTGCATCTCCTCCAATTAGAAAGGATACGACATTCACTGAGACAAAACCTGCTCACATTCAATGGAGTCTGCAGGAAAAATGTGCTCAACCAATCAGCATTCTAAGCAAAGGTGCCCTAACAAAAAGGTCACTTTGCCTCGTTTTATCTTGTTTTGATGAAGTATCTCTGCGAACTACAAACAGTTTTTCAATAGCCAGTTTGTGTGCGGCGCAGGAATTGTGAAACAACCTCCCTGAATAATCTGAATAGCTGCATGGGGCTCATACATCAAACAATGGCGCGAAATAGTGCGAAGACAGGCAAGTCGATTCAGCACATTCATCACCCATCCCTGGCCTACTGCGGTTGCACGGGCTAGAGGTAGTGCGCGCCAGCCACCGTCAGCCAAAAGCGCCATTGGCATAGCTGGCAACAAATGGAAATGGAAAGGAAAAAGGCCGGAAGGATTGCTTCGTCCAAGCAAGACCCCTTTGGGCCTGTACATGTGTCTATTTTCTTGTACATACATGCAAACCTATCAATATAATTGCTATATATGATGCAGCCTCCCAGGTCCCCCCCCCTCCCCCCCCAATGGGTATGGGTATACACGAGCTATGTTCCTCACCCCCCCTGTGGGTGGGTGGGGAGGGGCTAGTAGTAGTAGTAGTAGTAGTAGTAGTTGTAGTTGTAGTTGTAGCTGTAGCTGTAGCTGTAGTAGAAGTAGTAGTAGTAGTAGTAGTAGCTGTTGTTGTTGTTGTTGTTAGTCGTAGTGAGTAGTAGTTAGTAGTAGTAGGTAGTAGGAATGGTTATGGGTATACAGGAGCTATGTTCCCCGCCCCCCCCTGTGGGTGGGTAGGGGGGTGGGGGGGTTAGTAGTAGTTAGTAGTATGTAGTAGTGAGTAGTAGTTAGTAGTAGGAATGGGTATGGATATACAGGAGCTATGTTCCCCGCCCCCCCTGTGGGTGGGGTAGGGGGGTGGGGGGGTTAGTAGTAGTTAGTAGTGAGTAGTAGTTAGTAGTAGGAATGGGTATGGATATACAGGACCCCGCCCCCCCTGTGGTGTGGTGGGGGTGTGGTACTGCGTATTTATATATATATATATACACACAAGTATATATATATATAAGTATATATATGTATGTATGTATGTATGTATGTATGTATGTATGTGTGTATGTATGTATGTATGTGTGTGTGTGTATGTATGTATGTATGTATGTGTACAGATATGTATATATATATATATGTGTGAATACGTGTATATTTGTGTATATATATATATTTAAATACGAATATGAATATATATATATATATAAATACATATTTGTGTATGTATCTATAACATGTAAATAAATAAATAAATAAATCTATATATATATATAGGAAGTAGCTACATAGCACATGTATATATGACTATAGGTAGCACGTAGGTACTTTGAGGGAGTATGTGTGTTACGTAGGTCGTCTAAAGGGTAGCATGTACCTAGTAAATGGGAGGCTGGTAGTCAGAATCGCTGCAAAAACCTAGCAAATACGAGGCTGGTCCTCAGAAATCTTGCCAATAGCTTGCAAATAGAAGGGAAGGAGGGGTGCATACACGGAGATGCACTCATACCTCATACACACACACACACATACACACATACAAATACTATGCGGATAGACCCAGAGACCCCATGTCGGTTCCCAAAGCCGTCCTCAGTCTCGGCCTTTTCCTTCTCCTGAGGGGGGAAACCGTGCGGGAATGTGCCGTGTGAAGAGGCCAGTGGATGGGAATTGGGGATGTCGCAATCTTTAGCGAAGTGGAATGGCCACTACATCCTTCGATCTATATCATGGTGTACAGTCAATGTTTTCGGGGTGTCCAGGATGTAAAGACCGGGCTTTTAATATATACAACTAGTCTTGCCAAATAGGAATTTCGAATGCGCAATCTTGAAGTTGCACACCATTGCTTATAATTAAGTATAATGGTTTGAAATGTCGTTAGATGGAAGATGGAAAGTTGCCTTTAGCGAATAATTATATAACTGATGTGGCTCGTGGTCATCCCGGGCCCCAGCTGCACTCCCCGGCCTACGCCTCCAAGTGCGCCGCCAATTCCCGCACGAGGCGGGCCATCCTTTTCGGCCACGCACTCGGGGCGTGGTGCCGGCGCACGACTTTCAAGCACCGCCGCTGCCTTCTCCAGCCGCTTCTTGACGCGGCGGACACGGAGGATCTCGTGGATGGTCCCGTCCACGATCTCCTTCGATGTGAATCAGATCAGGGCGGGTCCAATTTAAGGGGTCTAGAATTATACAGATAGGCATAGCTAGATCGTAGAGGCATACACACACACATAAATATATATATATATATGTGTGTGTGTGTTGATATTTACATAAACAGTATATCTACTGTAGGTGCGAAACCTTTTTCTTTTTTTTTCCGATTTTTTCTGTTCTATTGCATCCATTGATCTTTCTGAACTAAGCGATGTCTCAATCCTGAGTGGCCGATCGTTATCATGTCTATTTATGAACATTGGATATTGTTATTTTTAGACCTGATAAATTCTGTTCTCAAGTCGTTGTTCGAGGAAATGTATCGGGTCATCGGTGATCAACCTACCTGCTCAAGCAATCTATGATAGAATCAGGATATATATAGTTGATGGTGCATCATTCGTGCTATTTAAATAGTTCTTTCGAGGCAGACTGATTGCAATTTGGCTGGTCCTGAGCGGTCTGCAGCTCCATTTGAGCCGCGCTCCGCGGCGGGTTCTGCGAACATTCTGTCATCAGCTGGCTGATCCTCGCGGGCCTGAAGCCCTTCCTCCGAAGTGCTTGCCGCACCTCCACGTCGGTGCCGAGCACCACCTTCAGCCTAAGCACTTCCAGCTGGGCCGTTCGGGGGGGGGGACCTCGTGGGCGGAAGACGGGAATATATATATATATATATATATATATATATGGTACAGGCCTGCAGCCCCACCCCCCCTCATGGTCATGGTTCCAGTCCTGGTCATGGACTTCTCTCCCGCCCCCCGTGGGAATGGGACGGGTTTCTTGGTCATCATCTATCTACGTACAGTATCTATGTATCTATGTATCTATGTCATCTATGTAATCTATCTAATCTATGTATCTATGTAATCTATGTATTTATGTATCTATGTCAATGTATCTATGTATGTATGCATGTATGTAAACATGTTAGTATGTTAGTACTTTTTTATGTATGTTCTCCCCGCCTGCCTGTGGAAATGGGGAGGGTCTCTTGGTCATCATCTATCTTTGTATCTATGTATCTATGTATCTATCTATTTGTCTATATGTGTATGTATGCATGTATGCATGCATGTATGCATGTAAGCACGTATGCGTGTATGCGTGTATGCATGTATGCATGTATGCATGTATGCATGTACGCCTGTATGCATGTATGCATGTATGCAGGATGCATGTATGCATGTATGCATGCAGGGATGCAGGTATGCAGGTATGCAGGTATGTAGGTATGTAGGTAGGTATGTAGGTATGCAGGTATGTAGGTATGTAGGTATGTGGGTATATAGGTATGTAGGTAGGTATGTAGGTAGGTAGGTATGTAGGTATGTAGCCACCTAGGTATGTACGTATGTAAGAATGTAAGTATGATGGTATGTAAATATATCAGTATTTAGGTATGTGAGTATGTAAGTATGTTAGTGCCCAGGTATGTATATATATATATATATGGATCGATGGATGGATGGATGGATGGATGGATGAATGGATGGATGGATGTCTGATGGATGGATGTATATTACATTGTGTGATCCTCTCTCGTGCTTGCACACATGTTGGACGCCACATGGCAGAATATCTCTCGTACTTGCACAGACCCTTGCTGCTACGTTATAGGATCCTCTCTTGTACTTGCACAGACAGTTGATGGTACGTTTCAAGACCTTCTATTGTACAACGTTAAAAGACGTTTAGATCTTCCATTGACGCTTGATGCTACGTTACAAGATATTCTCTTGTACTTGCGCAGACACTTGATGGTCTCTGAAAGGATCTTCTCGTGTACTTGCACAGATACTTGGTGCTACATTAATAAATCTTCACTTGTACTTGCACAGGCACTTGAGGTTAATTATAGGATCTTCTCTTGTGCTTGCACAGTTGCACAGACGCTTGGCCTACATTCAAAGATCGTCCCTCGTACTTGCACAAACACTTGATGCTACGTTGCAGGATGCTGCGTGCTGGGCTCGGTCTGGGGGACCATACCATTTTGGGGGTGTAGCCGGCCGCCGACCGGGACCATATGTATACACACACACACACGCACTTTTGATATCACTGGGTGTGACGTCTTGGTGTTGGGTCGGAGGCCAAACTTTCGGGGACAGGGGTCTAAGCATGCTAAAATTGTGGAGAATTCCAAAAGCAAGCGTAGAGCTCACAAACCACACCAAGCGTGATAACATCAGGGACGCAACAGGCACAACCCTCTGCAATTCGCAGAAATTGACTAACGCATTCTGCAGGTGCTTTCTTTGGGTTTTGAGACTCAAAACTCCAAACGCATTAGAATTGTCTAGTCATGCTGCAAATCAAAAAATCGAGACATTGCATAGGTGACAAGGAAACACTCCATCGCCCAGTGTGCCTATTCCACTGGCCCTTGCAAACTCACCAGTGTAGTCTGGTCTCGCCTTAGTCCAAATCTGGTCCCTGCTCCCAGGGCTAGAGTGAGCTTGTCATTGTCTCATAAAGGCCATGAATGCCTGTCTGCACTGCTATTCATACCAATTAATTACTTTCTTTGAGTGACCCATGCGCCTCACAGGGTTTGGGTTCGGGTCCGGCATGGCCCAGCTCTCATAGTTTTCGGGTCCGGAAAACCCCAGAGAGCTGGCAAACTTGCGATGTAGTGGCCGTGTAGAGGAGGCTGGCAAACAAGCTGGCGATGGCATGCTGGCGATGCGCGTCCGTGCGTGTGCGTGTGCGTGTGGGTGTGTGTGTGTATGTGTATCACCAAGGTGTGTGTCCGTATGTGGGCGTGGGCGCGGGCGCAGGCGTGGGTGTGGGCGTGGGTGTCTGTGTGTTGGTGTGTTTGTGGGCGGGATGGATTGTTTACATCTAGAGACCCTCGCCTGGCAGGTGGGAAATTTGATGTGTAAAATGTTTGACATTCTTATGAACATAAACTTACCAGGTAGTGCCCGGCACGCGCCGGGGCGGAAGTTTCGAAAAAGGACATTACTATAGGAAACAGTTTGTTTATAGGAATTCTTGGTGAGTTGGAAAGAAGTGAATTCAAATGAATGAACTGAAGAAAACAAATCAATGCAACGAATGAAGTGATTGAATGGGTGAATGGACTGGGTGAATGGACGAATGAATGAATGAATGAATGAATGAATGAATGAATGAATGAATGAATGAATGAATGAATGAATGGACGAATGAATGAGTGAGTGAGTGAATGAGTGAGTGAGTGAATGAATGAATGAATGAACGAATGAACGAATGAATGAATGAATGAATGAGTGAGTGATGAATGAATGAACGAATGACAATGAGTGAATTGATTGATTGATTGATAGATTGAATGAAATGAATGAATTGAATGAAGGAACGAATGAATGCAGGACTGAAGGAATGAATGAATGAAAGAAGGAAGGAATGAAGGAATGCAGGAATGAAGGGTTGAAGGAATGGAGGAATGCATGAAGGAATCAATGAATGAATGAATGAATGAATGAATGGATGAATGAATGAATGAATGAATGAATGAGTGAATGAATAAATGAACAAACGAATGAATCAGTGAATGAATGACTGAATGAGTGAGTGAGCGAACGCATGAAAAGAAGGAAGGAAGGAAGGAAGGAAGGAAGGAAGGAAGGAAGGAAGGAATGAAGGACTGAAGGTATGAAGGAGTTAGTGAGTGAGTGAGTGAGTGAAATGAATGAACGAACGAACGAACGAATGAAGGAACGACTGAATGCAGGAACGAAGGAAGCAAGGAATGAAGGAAGGAATGAAAGAAGGAATGAAGGAATGGATGAAGGAATGAATGAATGGCTGAATGAACGAACGAACGAATGAACGCAGGAACGACTGAATGCAGGAATGAATCAATGGAATGAAAGGAACGCATAAAGGACTGAATGAATGCATGAATGATTCAATGGAATGAAAGGAAAAACTGACGATGTCGTGTCAAATCCATGCATTCCCTGCGCGGTCCGAAGAGATTCACCCCACATCGCAAACGCAGCCAGTTTACCCGAAAAAACACAGGGTTTCGCGCCCAGAGTGTTTTCAAGCCTGAATTCATGCGTTCCCGATCTCTCACACTTCCCAACTACTTGCATGATGCTGTGGTGGACACTGATGTGGTTGACATGATGATTGAAATGGTTTTCCAGTGGAAATCGAGCTCTCGCTACAGTCTCGTGCGCATTTTGCTGACCTCATCTTCCAAAGTTGCTCGGAGCCCCGCAGTTTTTTAACATTTTCAAGCGGAAATGGAACTCTCAAAACAGTCTCGTGCACATTTTGCCGACCTCATCTTCCAAAAATGCTCCGAACGCTTCAATTTTTTAAAATATTTTCAAGTGGAAATCGAGCTCTCGCCACAGTCTCATGCACATATTGCCGACCTCATCTTCCAGAGTGCTCCGAGCCGTCCGAGCCCCGTCAGTTTTTTACGATGTTTATGTGAAACGAGCCCTCGCTACAGTCTCGTGCACATTTTGTCGACCGCTTTTTCCGGATCGAGCCGCGCACCCGCAGAAACCACTTTACCCGAAAAACACAGGGTTTCGCGCCCTAGAGTGTTTTCAAGCCTGAGTTCACGCATTCCCGATCTCTCACACTTCTCGACTATACTTGCATGATGATGCGGTGGTCATGATGATGTGGCTGACATGATGATTGAGATGATGCATGATGCGTTTGCCATTTTCACTTTTTTCAAGTCTCGTCCTCATTTTGCCGACCTCATCTTCCAAAAGTGCTCCGAGCCCCTCAGTTTTTCAACATTTTCAAATGGAAACCGAGCTCTCGCTAGTCTCGTGTGCCTTTTGCCGACCTCATCTTCCAAAAGTGCTCCGGCCGGTCAGTTTCTTACGATGTTTATGTGAAACCGAGCTCTTGCTACAGTCTCGTGCGCATTTTGCCGACCGCTTTCCCGGATCGAGCCGCGCACCTGCGGAAACATGACCCTCCTTCGGCGACCACGGCAGCCACTTTACCCGAAAAAAATACAGGGTTTCGCGCCCAAGAGTGTTTCCAGCCTGAATTCACGCATTCCCGATCTCTCACACTTCCCGACTACTTGCATGAGGATGTGGTGGCCATGATGATTGGGGTGATGATGTGGTTGCCATCATGGTGAGAAATCTAGCCATGACAATCGTTCGTAATTCGGAGTTTCCTAATTAAACTTGCTTTGGTTATCTCACAAAACTTCTGAAAGTCTATAGACATTTTCTCTCACCTGTTCTGACATTGCACGATATCTGACATTAGTTCTGTTTTCTATCGGACATATATTCTGACATTTTCCTGACATACAGTCTGACATATAATCCAACATTCTCTCTGACATATATTCTCACATTTATCGGGAACTTTATCTGACATGATACCTGACGTCTACGCGGAGCTCTATTTGACATTTTATCTGACAATCTACGTGACATTTTTTTGACATATTTTGACATGTATTTGGCAATTTATCTGGCACAGGGTTCAGGTCCGGTGGGGCCCCCAGCAAGCTGACGAGCTAGGCGCAAAGAGTCGGGGAGCTCGGCATAGGGTGCGGGTCTGCAGGGCCGCGAGAGCTGGAGAGTGGCTGTGTCGAGGAGGCTGGCACGCATGCTGGCACAAGCTGGCGATGCATATTGGGATTTGTGGCATGCTGGAGATGGCATGCTAGCGTGTCCGCTTCGTGTTCATGTCCTGCGGTGCCCGGTTAAAATCGAGGCAGAGAAAACACTGCCTTGATGCACGCATGGACACGTTGGCGGCCGCGAAACCATGATACACGTCACGGCCTCAGGGCCTGACGAAACCACCAAGGGCCCTAAACAGCGCAGTGGCTCCAGCGGCCTTAGTCTTACGACATGCGGAAAGCGCTGCGTCATCCGAATCAGGCGGTATGCCCATCTTCTAGGTTATGAAAAGTGATGAAACTCTGGATGTCAAACTGCCTCAGCCTGCTTTCGACTTTGGGATAATATTTCAGTGATATCCAGTGCGTTGGCTTTGAGCTTCAACGTGTTTCTGTTTCAGCCTTGGTCTTTGAAATCTCACCCTGGGACCTCGTACAATTTGCTCAAGGGGTCGAGCAAATCCATAGCGGATGGCCTTCACCACACCTTAAGTAACCCCCAACAGAATGCATGGCCATATGGGAGTGAAAGTACCTACACATGTTCAACCATTTTCAGATTGAACCTGGCAAAAGTGCTATGGTCAGGAGTCAGGAATCAGTAGCATACTCGGCGTCTCGCGGCGATGTTGATTTGTTTCTGCAAGTAGTAGTAGTAGTAGTAGTAGTAGTAGTAGTAGTAGTAGTAGTAGTAGTAGTAGTAGTAGTAGTAGTAGTTGTTGTTGTTGTTGTGGTGGTGGTGGTGGTTGCTGTTGTGGCTGTGGCTGTGGCTGTTGTTGTTGTTGTTGTTGTTGTTGTTGTTGTTGTTGTTGTTGTTGTTGTTCTTGTTCTTGTTGTTGTTGTTGTTGTTGTCCTTGTTGTTGTCCTTGTTGTTGCTGCTGTTGTATGGGCGCAGGACCATCTGGGGGCGACGCCATCCAATGCATTGGAAATCTGAAGATCCCCAGGCACAACCTGTCACGATTCGGCTCGAATCTGCAGAGCGTCGAGCGACGGTGTCGCGTTTCATGGCGCGAAGGTATCGGAGGAAGCAAAAAAAAGCACCATCACTACACATCATGCATCACTAACCCTGTGCCGGTAGCATGGTGTGCAGCATCCAAACAAGGGCAGCTACTGGTCCCACCCATGATCGAACAAATGTCATATCATATCATTGTTTTCACCCAGCCTACCGAAAGACTTGATACAAACTTGTCATGCTTTATTGATGTAATGTCGATGGAAGCGACCACATGTTCCAACTTGAGGCTATCCATTGCCCCTCCCAGCCCTTAGCAAAACGTGCCATGCCCACAAGTGCTCCATTGGACTCGGCTGCAAGGAAGGCCTACAGGTGGCGAACAATTTGAACATGGAAGTTTCCCTTCAAACCATTTTTTTTTGTGAAAACTGTGCTAAACTGCCTCACAGCAAGTCTGGTCCTTTTGATTGCAGCAAGGCGAACGCTACTCACATTGGATATGTTTGGTCCAACTGAGCAACTGCAGTCCCCCACTTTCAGTGCCAAGGGGAAAACGCAAGATATAGGGCCATATCAAGAGAAGGATTGTGAAAGTGATTGCGTGCCCACATGCGGTGGAGCAGTTCAAACACAGCTTTCAGATTCTCTAAGAAGGAGAATGTACATATATAATGTATAACACATGAGCTGAGAATCGAATCAGCCAAGCCGTGTCTTGTGCGACTTTTGTGCTTGTGCCTATGGGAACGCAGGAGATGAAACATTGGCCCAGCCCTCAGGAGATTTCCTCCGCTCACTTCTTCAGGATCGCAAGCGCCTTCTCGCCCATAAGGTCACCCATCTTTTTTGCTTCAGCCTTGTCCTCTGCTGAGATGTCGTCATAGCTGGCATTGGGCGTGTCATCCTTGCAGTACGCGGCCAAGCATTTGGAGATCCCGACGCATGAGCAATTGAACTCACCAACGATCCACTTCTCATCCTCTGCTTTGGTGCCTGGCAGCAGCTTGCCAGACAAAGAAAAGTGTAAACAACATACATACTACACATTAGCGACAACTTGCTGCAACAACTGGGACAGTGCTGCATGTTTACCTTCGCGAAGCCTAACCGCCGATAGCAAACCCTACGAAAACCAAATTGTACTGTAGTAGGCACGAGCTAGCTGCCATGGCAATTGTTTTCCGTAAAACAATCTCCATGAGACATCATGAATATTTCGGCCACGTATCGGACTTGTGCTGCGCATTTGTCTGAGGTAGAACGACGCACGGACGTGAAAATGCGTGGCTTCAACCTTGTATTCATGTGCGTGCATATACATTCGTCTTTCGTGCACGTATGGACAATTGGGCCCGCTTTGTCTTTGTCGTTGTCTTTGCTGTTGCTGTTGCTGTTGCTGTTGTTGTTGTTGTTGTTCTTGTTCTTGTTGTTCTTGTTCTTGTTCCTGTTGTTGTTGGTGTTGGTGTTGGTGGTGGTTTGTTGTTTTGTTGTTTTGTTGTTTTGTTGTTTCGTTGTTTTGTTGTTTCTGTTGTTTCTGCTGTTTCTGCTGTTTCTGCTGCTGCTGCTGCTGCTGCTGCTGGTGGCAGTGGTGGTGCTGTTAGTGTTGCTGTCTGTTGCTGTCTGTTGCTCTTGCTGTTGCTATGGTGGTGGTGTTTTTGTTGATTCATCTATATCCAATGAATTTATGTGTCATTGCGCATGTTCATATTGTAACCCATTGCGACTCCCAAAGCCACAGCTTCTGCCTGGTGGGGACGCATTGATGAAGTCGGTCGTCCACCAAAGTGGCAAAGGCTCATCGGCCAAGTCCAGGGACGGCATGACATGTGGCAAATCCTGACACGACGGTCAACGAAAGACCGTTCAGAAACTATCAAAGAAACCTGCACCTCCCTCCTGGTGCTTCAAAAGCCACTCCACTAGTGGAGCTCTGGAAATACCTGCACCTCCCTCCTGGTGCTTCAAAAGCCACTCCACTAGTGGAGCTCTGGAAATAAGTGCAAGCTATGTATGTATGTATGTATGTACGTACGTATGTATGTATATATATATATATAAGTATACATATATTAGCAATGGCACCCTACCACGTTTTCTTTGGAGTTTTTCCAAGTTTGGGCAATTAGCGTCCGTAAGTTTGGGTAATTATTGCCCCTAAGTTTGGGCCATTTTTGCCCCTAAGTTTGGTGATTGTTGTCTCTAAGTTTTGGCAATTTTTGTTCCTAAGATCTTAAGGACACACATTCAAAAAACATTGGGGACAACAATTCCAAAAACTTAGGGACACAAATTCCTCCAAAAGCTGATGAATGGTTGTCCCTAAGTTTTTGGATTTTTCGTCCCTAGGATTTTGGGATTTTTGCCCCTAAGATCTTTGGGACGAAAGTTTTCATTTTCTGGCAATTTGGTGTTCACTTTTTTCCCAATCCTGTGGACAATAAATTTTTCCAAAAGGGAACATCAATGCCCCAATCCTGGGACAATAAATCCCCAAACCCGGGGACAATAATTGCAAAACAGCTTCTAAAGAGATGTGCTAGAGAGACATGCCATATATGGGTATACATATATAATCTCGATGGCATACATAGAATACAGAATCGATAATTTCGGCCTCCAGAAGCATCTTCCGGAATCGGTCAAAAAAACCTATACATAGAATAAAAGCATCTTCCGGAATCGAAAAAAAAAAACCTATACATAGAATATTTCCGGCTATCCATTTTGATCAGGGAAAAAAAAAAATCTCAGGTTTTGCTGGATTTCTGCAGCCGCCCGTGATTCAAGCAATTCCCGCAAAGGGACGTGACCAATCGGTTTCAACATGGAGGGTGTGTTGCACCGCGTTTTGCAGGGGCAAGCGCGGGGTGACCACTACTCTGTGTTGGGGGTAACACCAGCCATTGGTGGGGAGGAGATTCGACCTGAGGAGCGAATGAGGGCTTTCTTGGTTGGTAGAACTATGAAAAAAGACTATTTTGCAATGAAAACCAATGGAATTGGGTGGTGTTCCTCAAAAAATTGATGAATATGTTCACTGGGGACCTATATTCTATGTATGTAGTTCTGCAAGGAATTGGGTCTCTTCCATGTATGAGGGTATGTATCATATCCGTAATTCCCTTTGGCAAGTAGCAACCCTGGATGTCTGAAGTTCCTAAACTACAACGTATCAACAAAAAAACAGGTCACTTGTTTAAAAAAATGATTTTTCAGGCTCACCGAAGGGTACCCCCCACGACTGGTGTCGTAGAACTATGAAAAAAAAACTATTTTGCAATGAAAACCAATGGAATTGGGTGGTGATCCTCAAAAAAATTGATGAATATTTTCACTTGGGACCTATATTCTATGTATGTAGTTCTGCAAGGAGTTGGGTCTCTTTCATGTATAAGGGTATATATCATATATGTAATTCCCTTTGGGGAGTAGCAACCCTGGATGTCTGAAGTTCCTAAACTACAACGTTTCAACAAAAAAACAGGTCACCCGAAATGACATTTCTTTTTATATTGTATTTAAAAAATGAGTTTTTCAGGCTCACCGAAGGGTACCCCCCACGACTGGTGTCGTAGAACTATGAAAAAAAAAATATTTTGCAATGAAAACCAATGGAATTGGGTGGTGATCCTCAAAAAAATTGATGAATATTTTCACTTGGGACCTGTATTCTATGTATGTAGTTCTGCAAGGAATTGGGTCTCTTTCATGTATAAGGGTATGTATCATATCCGTAATTCCCTTTGGCAAGTAGCAACCCTGGATGTCTGAAGTTCCTAAACTACAACGTTTCAACAAAAAAACAGGTCACTTGTTTTTTTTTCAGGCTCACCGAAGGGTACCCCCCACGACTGGTGTCGTAGAACTATGAAAAAAAAACTATTTTGCAATGAAAACCAATGGAATTGGGTGGTGTCCTCAAAAAAAATGATGAATATTTTCACTTGGGACCTGTATTCTATGTATGTAGTTCTGCAAGGAATTGGGTCTCTTTCATGTATAAGGGTATGTATCATATCCGTAATTCCCTTTGGCAAGTAGCAACCCTGGATGTCTGAAGTTCCTAAACTACAACGTTTCAACAAAAAAACAGGTCAAATGACCAGTTGTATTAAAAAAATGAGTTTTTCAGGCTCACCGAAGGGTACCCCCCACGACTGGTGTCGTAGAACTATGAAAAAAAACTATTTTGCAATGAAAACCAATGGAATTGGGTGGTGATCCTCAAAAAAATGATGGATATTTTCACTTGGGACCTATATTCTATGTATGTAGTTCTGCAAGGAATTGGGTCTCTTTCATGTAAAAGGGTATATATCATATATGTAATTCCCTTTGGGGAGTAGCCCTTTGGGGAGTAGCAACCCTGGATGTCTGAAGTTCCTAAACTACAACGTTTCAACAAAAAAACAGGTCACCCGAAATGACCAGTTTCTTTTTATATTGTATTAAAAAAATAAGTTTTTCAGGCTCACCAAAGGGTACCCCCCACGACTGGTGTCGTAGAACTATGAAAAAAATTACCCAGAACCCAAAAAATGTTCAATCTGCTGGGTTTCACACATGTTTTCGATATGGGAATATCATTATTCCTATGGTATTTGCTTTGGCACTGTTTATGCACTCCAAAATTCTACCCCAAATATTTCTACCCCAAATATTCTAAGTATTTTTTTTTCTGTCCACACCCGTAGGGTTGAAATCGGGCATATTCTATGTATCCCATCGGGATTATAAATATAAAAAATGCAAAATCAGTCAGAGACACCTGACATATACATACATATACTATGTATATTCTTCCTACTTGCAAGACAAGCTGTCCATTTTTCCCGGCCTTCTTCAAGAAGTTATCAGTGAGGCTCTTGAACAGCGGCTCCTCAGGTCCATAAAAGGTGTAGATCGAGCCGGTTCCACCCACCGCCGAGATGCCTCCCTCCTGACGTTGGGGACAAGACGGGCAGGTCTCATTCCTCTGATTATACAAAGCGAAGCAAAATGACTCAACATGAATTAGAATGAACATGAACAAAGGATTCTGATACTTACAAATGGGTGCTCGCCTCGGGTGGTAAATGATCTTTCGGGAAAGAACGCGAAAAGACCCGGCAAAACTCAGTCCTTGGGCTTCTTGTGAATCACTCCGATCAGAGCATCACCAATCAAGTTGTAGCGCAGCTCTCCTTCCACAATGCGAGGGCAGAAGCGTTGGTCGACCAGTTGGCCACCAGCCTCTTTGCCACCCTCCAAATACTTGCCCACACCCTTGGAAGTCCACTCACCTGACTTGCTAGTCCTTCCATGTACGCAGAATTCGATAAATTCTGCGACCGTGTGCTCCTCTTCATGGTTGTCGTTGGCCTCCATGAGCATCAGCTTCTCCGAATCTTCGCAAGACCTACAACAGTGTGAGCCGAACGAGCTAGTGTTCAATTCAACACTGTGATGCCACAGCATGATTGGACTGTCACTAGACTGATGCATGAAACATCAAAGAACCCAATGAACAAATTGCACCCCATTTGCCAGAAATTCCATGAGTACCCAGCCCTGCCTCTCTCCATAAGTCTTGCAATAGTTCTCCGCTTTAAGCTTGATAATCCAAATGCCTTCACCAGACGAACCTCGATTCTGCTTGATGACTCGCGGCTGGAACGCCATGGTCTTCTTGAAACCAGCAGCAAACTCCTCTGGCGTGTAGTAGGCTAGTGTGTCCTCCAAGCCAATGTTCATCGTCGCCACCTTGCAAAGCGCATCTTTTGCTCCCATCTTCTCCATGACATCTGGCGAAGGCCACACCTGCTTGCCCATCTTCCTCATTGCTCGCATGCCATCATCAAACTTGTTCTGATCGCCACCATCAGCCTTGATCTGGCCTGGGTTGCATCGCACAATGATGAAGTCAAAGTTCTTGCACAGGGCAAAGAACTTGTCGTGCTCCTCATGGGTGTAGTGAATGAGCTGACAGCTCATTCCAGCGTTGATCATTCCATTCACGATAGGGATGCTGTCATACCGATGGCCATTGTTGGATTTGTCGGATCCTCCATATGGCTGGCTGCGAACATAGATCTGCGCCAGCGCTCCCTTGAACTTGGGTGCGGAAGGCTGATCCAACATGCCCTTGTAGTCCTTCGCAACAACAGTGATGCTGCTGCAGTCCACTGGGCCAGGGCAGGGCTTCTTCTCAACACAAGCTTCCTTGATCATTGCCAACTGGCTGGCTGGCAATTCCTTCAAAGCAGCGGCAATCTCTTCCGGGGTCTTGCCAGCAATGGCATTGGCAACGTCAGTGCTTGCACCGGAGCCCATGATGACAAAGCTTGGAGAGGATTGAGCTGCTCAGATAGAAGCTTGAAGCTTGAGGTTGCTACACCGGTCAAGTACGTCCAGGCATACAAAGAGTGCAAGCAGGCGCAAACGCATGCTATGTCTACCTGGTGTGACTGGTGTGTCTTAATTAATTACTCATTTTCTGGTGTTCGAGACATTCTGTATCATTTTGTCAGTTTGCTAGCTGTTTGATAGCACTCTTGTTCACAATTTGTTTGTCAACCAAGACAAACAACTCCGAGGGCACCGAGCCTCGTAAAATTCTTCTCCGCCTCCTACTTCCTGGCACTGCCATGCGGATCCATTTGCGCAACAGCGCGCGGCTTCATTGCTCTTTTTTGGATAGGATCTACATGTGGCACACATCCATTGCATGATGATTCTTGGAATGGCATGGCTCAGAATTGCTCACGTAAAGGAGGGTGTCTGAAATGCCCGAACCATCTCCGCGATGAAAAACCAAGGTTAAAAACTACATCGGCTCCAGGGATTGTTTGGCCATTATTGGTTCCTAATACTCTGAGAAGTAAGAAGCTAGAAGAAGAAGAGGAAGAAGAAGAAGAAGTCAAGAGGCAAGAGCAAGAAGCAGAAGGAAAACGTAACGCAAGAACATTGTGTTAACAGGTAGCAAGGAACACAATAAGTAAGCGGTAAGAGAAAGAAACCAGAACAACACGACAGAGGCTAAAACAAGGAAAAGAAAATGTTATGCAATGCAAGCACAGGGCTGTTAACAGGAAGCAATGAATAAGGACACGCGGCAAGAGCAAGAAACTAAAACAAGAATCAAGAGGCAAGAGAAGAACCACAGGAGAAACAGCAAGAGCAAGAAGCAGAAGAAAACGTCATGCAAGAACATGGCGCCAACAGGACGCGAGGGACGCAACAAGAAAGCAAGCGGCAAGAGCAAGAAACCGGAAGAAAAAGAAGAACAAGAAGTCCAGAGGCAAGAGCAAGCAGCAGAAGAAAACGTCATGCAAGAACATGTGATGTTAACAGGTAGCAAGGAACGCAATAAGAAAGCAAGCGGCAAGAGCGAGAAGCCAGAAGAAGACGTCAAGGGCAAAGCAAAAAGCAGAAGAAAACCTCACCTGGGCCGTGCAATTGGAGCGTTGTCTTGAAAGGCAGCGTTAGGCACTGCCAGCCCGAGCGGGCAGCGCCACTCCGTCCTTCAGGAGCATCGGGGTTTAGCCCTGCGAGACCTTCGTTTCTATAGCTGCCGCTTGTTTTGGCTGCTTTCTTCTGAAGATTCCAGAAAGAGCGTTGAGCACTGTCATCCCGGGCTGGCGCGCCGGTTTCTCGTTCAGGACTATGGTCCGAGACCTTCGTTTGTTCATCCCCACCGCTTGTTTTGGTTGCTTTCTTTTGGGGACTCCAGAAAGAACGTTAGGCACTGCGAGCCCCTGAGCGGTGGTAGCTCCGCATCGTCCTTCAAGAGCACGGGGGAAAATGCTGGTGCACTATTTTTGTGCCTTTTTTGAAAATCCGAAAGTCATGACATGCCGGAAACATCCAGATTTCATGTAAATAAAAGTGTCTTGGCAGCTTTCGGGTACTGAGACTGTGGTATTTACGCGCTCTTTCCCTGCCCCCCCCAAATAGCAAATTTGAAAAATTATCCCCGCAAGAGACCCCAAACAGTGTGGGGGGAGTAAAAAGACCATGTATTACTTGAGGCCGGGGGTGGATGACGAAAGCTAGCGGGGTAGGAGAAAGAAGGAAGGGAAGAGGTGAGTTGCGGAGGGACTGTCATCATCGTGTCGCGGCATTGTTCGTCCCAACGAGGATGCAACAATGATATATTGATATATGATATATAACAATGATATATATGGGGGAGGGGGGGGGGCCCCCTTTCGCGTGAAAAATCGCGTGATGTCCTTGAGCAGCCCCCCCAATACTTGCTAAAGCAAGAAGACTCCAGCTAGCTGACGCTAGTTTTCGTGATAATGACAATAATGTTGCCAATTATGATAAATGTAATTGATGATGAACGATGATGATGATGATGGTGATGATGATGATGATGATGATGATGAATGACGAGGATGATATGATTATGATGACGATGACGATGACGAGGACGAGGACTGATGACGACGAACGACGACGACGATGACGATGATGATGACGGATGGTGGATGATGGAGGACGATGATGGGGATGGGGGGGGGATGGGGGGGGGCCCCCTTTCGCGTGAAAAATCGCGTGATGTCCTTGAGCAGCCCCCCCAATACTTGCTAAAGCAAGAAGACTCCAGCTAGCTGACGCTAGTTTTCGTGATAATGCTGATGATGATGTTAATGTTGCTGTTGATGTTGATGCTGATGATGGTGATGACGGTGATGATGATGATGATGGTGGATGATGATGATGATGGTGATGATGATGATGATGTGGATGATGATGATGGATGATGATGGATGTGAAGGAGGAGGAGGAAGATGATGATGTTGAGGAGGATGATGCTGAGGAAGAAGACCGATTCCAAGACCGGGAAGCACACTTTGTGCGAGCCTGCGCAGTCGAAATGCACATGGACATGTCACAAGAGGCATTTTGCGGGGAAATTGGCAGGGAACATGCCAAACGCCGCGGATACCACCTCGATTGAACACCGGGCCTTAACACCTACTGTATGAACCCCTCAGTGTGGACCATGAACGTCAGCTAGAATCCGGCGATGCCGTTTTAGGCAGCTTAGCAACGGCAGCCACAGCATTCATAATTCTCACATTTTCTCACTTAGCTCTCACATCTTCTCATTCAGAACTCACAGAGGCTCCACACCTCTGGAGTGCGAGGGCAAAGATGAAAATTCATCACTTAGAACTCACGCAGCTTCCAGGAAAGATGCTGTTGGGGCGGGGCGTCGTGGGGCAACATTGACATTCGCAACTTTGGGTCTGTTGGGTGGGTGGGGAAGGGGTGATTCGACTTACACCATCATTTCGGGGAGAAAGGTGATTCCACTCTAATAGCCACTGATGCTTCTTGGAGGTTTGGGGAAGACTTGTAGTCAACTAGTCAACTAGCATTTTGGGGTTGTTTGGGGGGTGGGGAAGTCTGGGTTGGGTGAGGACGGGTGATTCCACTAATGAAGCACTAATGCAATTTTTTGTGGTGCTTTAGGGCGCACTTGCTTTCAACTAAACATTTAAAGTTTGTTGGGGGATGCGGGGGGATGCGGAGGGCTGCTTCTGCTTCCATCATCATTTGCGTTGTTCTGAGGGGTGGTGGTGGGGGGGGGCGATTCCTTTTTTTTTTAACCTCATGTTACATCATGATTTGAAATTTCTTGGGGAGTGAGTACGCGTGATTCCACTATGGTTTATTGCGGGGTGCGGAGGGTTGATTCTGCTTCCATCATCATGCGCAATCTCTTGGGGAGGGTGGGGAAGGGTGATTCCACTCTACGTGCAACACTTTCTCTTGCAACTTCCAAGATGCTCTTGATTCTACGCTCTTCTCTTTCTCCAGGAACTTGCAACACACTCTTGATGATGGGCCCTTTGCTTTCTCTTGGAACTTCCAACACGGTCTTGATGCTACCCCTCTAACTTTCTTTCGGAACTTCCGGCAGGATCTGGATGCTACGCTCGCAACTTTCTCTTGGAACTATGGACACGCTCTTACCTCAAAAAAACATCGCAAACAATACCATCGCATCGCCGGTGTGCAAAGCTCAACAATATATATAATAATTTTGGCTTTGGGTCAGCTGCCACACCAGGCAGCAAGATGCACCAAGAGGCCAAAATCCGCAGCTGTCGGAGTCCTTGTTGCCCACGATGTTTTGGGCCAACTCCAACCCCGAGAACAGCACCTGCCACGTTGCACAGTCCAAATCAGAATTGATGTCCAAAGGTGTCAACACTGCCATGCTGATGGTTTTTTCCAGTCCTGCGCAGCACCCAATTTTTTTCAAGAAATCGACCTGCGTATGTTCATGAGATCTTTCCCAAGTGAGGTCATAATAGTTGATGCTTAAAGAAACTGTTGAGTCTACGACCTCTCACACGAACAACGCAGTCTAACCTGCAATTCAACCGATCCATCATTCATCGACCGAAGCAGGACGAGACAACCAACCGTATACCAGTAGTACCGCGCAAGGCGGTGGCGGAAGTTTCAAAAATAGGAAACCTATAGGAGAGCTTGGTTGTTGTGAATCATGGATGGCAGAGCTACTCCACTGCTGGATCGACAAATGGTTAGACTGTCGGGCTGCCCATCTTCCTATCTATCCATGTCTCTATTCATCCACCTACCTATCTATCTATCTATCGATCGATCGATCGATCTGTCCATCTGTCTTTCTGTCTATCTATCTATCTATCTATCTGTCTATTTGTCTATCTATCTATCTGTCTGTCTGTCTGTCTGTCTATCTGTCTGTCTGTCTGTCTATCTATCTGTCTATCTGTCTATCTGTCTATCTGTCTATATGTCTGTCTGTCTGTCTATCTATCTATCTATCTATCCATCTATCCATCTATCCATCTACCTATCTATCTTTCTATCTTATTTTCTATCCATTTATCTTATTTTCTATCTACCTATCTTATTTTCTCTCTATCTATCTATCTATCTACCTATCTATCTATCTATCTATCTATCGTATTATCTATCTATCCATCCTATTTTCTATCTATCTATCTATCTATCTAATTTTCTATCTATCTATATTATTTTCTATCTATCTATCTTATTTTCTATCTATCTATATTATTTTCTATCTATCTATCTTATTTTCTATCTATCTATCTTATTTTCTATCTATCTATCTTATTTTCTATCTATCTATCTTATTTTCAATTTTTCAATCTATCTATCTATCTATCTAATCTAATCTAATCTAATCTATCTATCTATCTAATCTATCTAATCTATCTAATCTATCTAATCTATCTAATCTATCTAATCTATCTAATCTATCTAATCTATCTAATCTATCCAATCTATCCAATCTATCCAATCTATCGAATCTATCCAATCTATCGAATCTATCTAATCTATCGAATCTATCGAATCTATCTAATCTATCTAATCTATCTAATCTATCTAATCTATCTAATCTATCTAATCTATCTAAGCTATCTAAGCTATCTAAGCTATCTAAGCTATCTAATCTATCTAATCTATCTAATCTATCTAATCTATCTAATCTATCTAATCTATCTAATCTATCTAATCTATCTAATCTATCTAATCTATCTAATCTATCTAATCTATCTAATCTATCTAATCTATCTAATATCTATCTAATATCTATCTAATATCTATCTAATATCTATCTAATATCTATCTAATATCTATCTAATATCTATCTAATATCTATCTAATATCTATCTAATATCTATCTAATATCTATCTAATATCTATCTAATCTATCTAATCTATCTAATCTATCTAATCTATCTAATCTATCTAATCTATCTAATCTATCTAATCTATCTATCTATCTATCTATCTATCTAATCTATCTAATCTATCTATTCTATCTATCTATCTATCTATCTAATATCTATCTAATATCTATCTAATATCTATCTAATATCTATCTAATATCTATCTAATATCTATCTAATATCTATCTAATATCTATCTAATATCTATCTAATATCTATCTAATATCTATCTAATATCTATCTAATCTATCTAATATCTATCTAATCTATCTAATCTATCTAATCTATCTAGTCTATCTAGTCTATCTAGTCTATCTAATCTATCTAATCTATCTAATGTATCTAATGTATCTAATGTATCTAATGTATCTAATGTATCTAATGTATCTAATGTATCTAATGTATCTAATGTATCTAATGTATCTAATCTATCTAATCTATCTAATCTATCTAATCTATCTAATCTATCTAATCTATCTAATCTATCTAATCTATCTATCTAATCTATCTAATCTATCTAATCTATCTAATCTATCTAATCTATCTAATATCTAATCTATCTAATCTATCTAATCTATCTAAATCTAATCTATCTATCTATCTATTCTAATCTATCTAATCTACTATCTATCTATCTATCTAATCTATCTAATCTATCTAATCTATCTAATCTATCTAATCTATCTAATCTATCTAATCTATCTAATCTATCTAATCTATCTAATCTATCTAATCTAATCTATCTAATCTATCTAATCTATCTAATCTATCTAATCTATCTAATCTATCTAATCTATCTAATCTATCTAATCTATCTATCTATCTATCTATCTATCTAATCTATCTAATCTATCTAATCTATCTAATCTATCTAATCTATCTAATCTGTCTATCTATCTATCTATCTAATCTATCTAATCTATCTAATCTATCTACTCTATCTAATCTATCTAATCTATCTAATCTATCTAATCTATCTAATCTATCTAATCTATCTAAGCTATCTAATCTATCTAATCTATCTAATCTATCTAATCTATCTAATCTATCTAATCTATCTAATCTATCTAATCTATCTAATCTATCTAATCTATCTATCTATCTATCTATCTAATCTATCTAATCTATCTAATCTATCTAATCTATCTAATCTATCTAATCTATCTAATCTATCTAATCTATCTAATCTATCTATCTAATATCTATCTACCTATCTATCTATCTATCTATCTATCTAATTTTCTATCTATCTAGCTATCTATCCATCTATCTATCCATCTATCCATCCATCTATCCATCTATCCATCTATCCATCTATACTTCCAAGCGTGCTTCGCGCCACAATGGGGCACGCTTTTTCGACATCTCAACTGCCAAAAATGCTCCGGACGTGAAGTGTTTTTAGCTTTTTCACTTCCAAATCTGCCCGCCACAACGGCGTGCCATTGTTTATCTCTCATCCCGCCCGCCAGATGGCTCCGCACCCGCCGCTTGAGCGAGCCTATCTACTTTTAGACCCTCCGGAGCCACAAATCATTGGAAAAACAGTGTTTCGCGACTTTTCTACCTTTTCGCTCACCTGCATTTGCATCTTCTTTCTTCTGACTCTTTCTCCGATCTTCTTTCTTCTTCTCTTCTCTTCTCTGATTCTTCCCACCTCTGCTTTTCATCTGTCCATAGTTTTGGAAGTTTGACTTCTAAACTTCCTTCGATTATAACGGAACAGAACAAGTAAGGGCCCCCTATGCCTATGTTCCTTCATCTATAGGGTCCATTCAGTCATCCTGGCTGCTAGTAGTTGCAATTGAGAGACGCGCCTCGCGGATGCTTCTTACAAGGGGACTTGGCCTCGTGTAGAAGGCCTACCACTGATTACTTTTGAAATGCTCACACTTGGCAAATGCTTTGCGAACTTGTATACATCAATCACGGTTTATGCATGTAGATGCAGGGTGCAAGGTCTAGCTCGCACGACTTCATATCTACTTGTAGTAGTACATTATGTATGCGTTCCGACAAAAAAGCTCCATTTGCATCCATGTGCAGGTTTTGTGTCCTAAAGACACTGGGACACTGGATGACACTGGTATGGTGACCTAGTGACCTACCCCTTTCTCACAACAGCCATTTTTCTGGTCATCCCTCCAGGGCCCTGGCTGGTATTTCGAACCTCGCACTGGGAGGTATGGCCAAGGCCTTCGTCCAGATCGGCACACGAAGTTCACGCAGGAGGAACTGGTTTCTGTGGAAGCCCCTACCAGCTTGTGGTGCTCTCAACCCAGCTATACCATTAGTAGATCCTAAGTAGAATATAAGTAGAATATAGATGAAGCAAAGCTAGTTGGAACATGTTGGAACCAAGGCTAGTTGAAATAGTTGTTCTTTGAATTGCGAGTAATTCGAAAGGGCGCGTCTACCAAAGAAACGTGGATTATGGTGACTGGAGACCAAGCTGGGAGAGGCTGTGAAGACTGGGGACAGGCTTGGGAAAAGACTGGGATGTATGATGTATGTGACATGTGGGGTAAAACACAACGGCTGTTCCAAAAAGTTGCTTAGTGATGCTTAGTTGGCAGTTCTAGATGCAATCCTAGGATGTACCAGGATGTATGCATTCCTCGAGCCAATATCAGAAGCAGTCTTACTGAAATTCAGATACCATTGAGACATGTTAATGTTGAGATAACTTGTTCATTTTTTTCTACCTATCTATCTGTCTATCTGTCTGTCTGTCTGTCTATCTCTCTATCTATCTGTCTATCTGTCTCTCTATCTGTCTATCTGTCTCTCTATCTGTCTATCTCTCTATCTGTCTATTTGTCTATCTGTCTATCTGCTATCTGTCTATCTATCTGTCTATCTGTCTACCTGTCTATCTGTCTGTCTGTCTATCTACCTGTCTATCTGTCTGTCTGTCTATCTGTCTATCTGTCTATCTGTCTGTCTGTCTGTTTGTCTATCTATCTATTTGTCTGTCTGTCTATCTATATATCTATCTATCTCTAGGGCGCAATGGGTTCGAAATTAGCAAGGATGCACTTTGATGCATTTGGCAGATATATTCGCCGCAAGTCTTTGTATTCCAATCAGTGAACCCAACGTTCAAATGCTCATCTGGTGCCCAACCCCTCCTGATGCAGCTTGGGTGCCACGCAAGCCACGGCGATCCGCCAGCAACCGCGAGAAGCGCTGGCGGGAGTTTTGGGATCTCAAGCATTGGAAATCTCTGGGAATCCATGTGTATGAATTGTAACTGTTTGGGCTAGAGAACCCAAACAATGAAACAACAAAATATAACAAAATGCCCCAGTCGGAGCAACAGACTTGGAACGTGAAAACATGTGGAATCTCCGATACCTCTGTCAGGGCTTCATGTACATCATTCCTTCCCAAGAGATTTCAAAATCCATCATAAGAAGATGCTCCGGGCACCGTGAAGACTTTCTTGTGTGGTTTCACTTCCTGTTTAAGTGTTTTCTAGCCTGAGCAATCCTGAGCTATACTTGTACCAGTCCAAAACATCCAAATGGAATGCGATGAAATGCGTCACAACTACTATTTCGGAAAAGCAATATATTCTTTCTGAACAAGGCACGGTCCCAAACCATTTTTTCACAACCAGCTACGTCATAGCCAACGCCGTCCCACTCCTCTCATTTCCCAATCCCAATAAATTCAAATTCGTACCAGCCTGCTGATCAAGCTCAACCAAACAAACGTCCGGGCGAAAGTCTTCAATCCTCAGATTGCACATACAAATGGCTTATTGTTTTAGAGCTTTTCTGTCTGTTCTGCAGATGACATGACCATATCAATATCTGGCGTCTTTGAGGCTGGCTCATTTTTCGAGCTGACTGCCCAGACACGCCTCCATCGTAGTGCGCCACTCCTGAACCACGGGCTGTCATGGGCTATCTGTCTTCACGCAGGGGAGTTGGACTTCTGGATCACGGATGATAGCAGCAATCTCGGTAGTGTCAAAGCTGCAATGCCACCACACGTAGACATACAGTACTGCAATTACAGTTCCAGTAAATGATAGTAAATATGTAATTTATATGAACAAGTAGCTCAGAGATTTGGTTGAGACGCCACTATGCCAAAATACCATGGAACGTAGCATGGCAAGGCCTTTGCAGCTAGCTAGGCTAGCAACTTGCCAATCTCTTGTCCAAACTCTTCTGCAATGCCCCTTTCAAATCACGCCTACAATCAGCACATCCAAATGTGGTGAACGCAGAATACCGCAATAAGCGGGAACTTCCTCACCTTGCAGAGAGCTGATGCTGGCAGCTCCAGCATGCTCCAGAGTTCATTGGAGGGCAAATGATTGTATCAAAATGGCTCGGCCACCAACACGTTTGGGCATTTTAGACTGGGCAATGGTGGGTAAATGCAAAGACTGAATACCCGTAGAGCACGTGCAGTAGCATTTGGTGTTATCCTAGCATGTAGAGTGAGCGGAATTCAGAAGGTATGTCACCCGCACTGACAGACTTGAGCATCTCTTGAAGGAGCCTGCATCACATAGACTTGGGTTTTCGGCCTTGTGGCATTGTGAGCTCAAACAGTCAAACCATTTGAACTCTGTTGTGTTTTAAGGATTGAACAAGGCAAGTTTGTGAGTTGTGTTTCCCAACATTTACCAAATGGTGGCGCATTTATGTCGTATACCAATGTACGTCCGGATATCCATTCGCTACAAAGTGAGCCTCCCTTGATCTGGTAGATTTGACCTTGGCCCCATGCTTCGCGAGCAGCTTGCTGCCTGCAACTCCGACTGCGCCTGAGGCCAGGACAGACTGCAATTCGGAAAGTGAAAGGAGTAGGATGGGCACATGTCGAGTTATCTCGAAATCTCCAAATCTACCTCAATTTAATAAGAAATACATGTAAATATGTTAATCTTTGTTGGTTTTATCTAATTTAGAAGTCTATCCAAATGACCAGCAAAAAAACAACTATGTATTCCAAAATGTGTCATCGCCTTCGCCAAGTTCCTGGAATCGCCAAGACCTGCTCCCAATCCCAGACTAAACATGAAACCATCAGTCGGTGGTGTCAACCCATTTTCTTATACAGTTTATTGGATTAAATTGGAGTTACAATATATCAAAAAAATCAACATAAATAGATCAAAATCATCAAATCGGAATGAGCAACCCATGCAACACTCATTGAAAACACTCATCCAATCAACCAGGATGTGCACAGCGTTCTTTGGGACCGGGCAGTCGCGGTCCCAGCCAACAGGGCGGGGAGTTGGCAGCGCCTGACACAGGGCTCAACCGTCAAAGACCATTCGCAGATTCTGCTGAGAGAGCTTCGTGAGTACATGTGAAAATTAAAACAAAAACCACAAACATCCATAAACGCAAACTGGACTGGTTTTAAGAATTGAAGCTGGTTCCAAATTGGCTACGTCGAATCGTGCGTAGTTCCTTCTGCAGGGTTTAACTTAAAGGATTTGGCAGTTCCTACCTGATAGACCTCGTCGAGGTTGTATCCAAGTTGGAAGTTGGAAGGTAACGATGTAGTCGAAGCATGAACAAGACACAACTCCCAAAAAACTGAGAAGCCCGTGCACACACACGATAGTTGTTTATGAAATGGGAAATCGGCAAGCCAGGTTTCAGCTTAGCCTGGGAGCTATGTCAAGAAATGATGGAGTTTAAAAGCAGGTACGCCTGGGTGGCCAATCCAGATATCCCACTCTGTGACCTAGCTTCGTTGAACTGGGTCAGTCACAGAGTGCCCAGTTCCCCTGCATTGAATTATATGCAACATTTGTTGGCTTGGCAGCAAACGATTGTCGGCACCATTCCCTGTGCTAGAAGGGTTCGCACACACACGCACATCCTATCTACTGAAAAAACTCAAACCACTCGTTGATATTCTTTTGACCTCTTTGGCAGAAATCTAGTCAAAACATGTCAAAACGGTCCATGAAGTTATTCATTTAGGCCCTGGGAAGTCGAGACATTTGAGGATCTGGAAGGAATATCCCTTGCCTTGTGATCAATTTTGGCAAAATAGTGCTCCTCACAGTGTTGGCCCCTGATCTTGAAGTGCTGCTTCGGGCGTGCAATGGGCGCAAAGTCCATGACGGATGCATGGACATGTGGTTTCCACACCGGAGGCAGGACTCGATCAGCTATATGTTATGATCGTCCATCATGTCCATACCAGAATGGGAAGCCCTTTTACTGAATGATCTGAATGTAAAAAAATGTAAAAACATGTATAAATTCCATGTCAATGTGTTGATGACCATAGCCCAATATGGGTAATCTACCAATGTTCAACTATGGCGCATATATTATACTATTATAGGTAGACTGGTTCAGTAGGCTTTGAAATTAAATGGGTCTCTAAAGGCAGGCTCTGTATTGTCACTCACTTCTTTACTGCTGATTGAAGCTGTTTTGGTTTGCTCCTGTGGCACTCTCAGACCCCCTTCCAGTCCATCTCTTGGAAGCTACGAAGCACCGTGGCTCGAATAAAAAACCACAGGGCTTGAAGTGCATGCTGTATGGGCTTGTGTCATTGAAGCTTCCAATCGGCCACCCTGTCATACTGCATATCTACTATGAATCGGCTATACATCAAACATCTGCAACTGTTGTAGCACATGAAAACAAGGTATTTCGGCATTCAACTTTTCCTGCAATCCAAGCGAATCAAGCACCAAATTGCGCTTGCTACACACTAATGTCTGAAACACGGAAAGTTCTTTGTAAAGGGTTGATCAGAAGCTGGCACAGCTTATACATGCTTAAATATGCTTATATACGATATCACGATAGCACATCATTGCACGATGCAAGAAAATGTTGGGCAAATGTATATCAACGTTTGGCAAATGTTGGGAATGCACTGTTGAACTGAGCTTGGCTTGTTCGGCCACCAGCATCAACCCGAATCCGTCCTTGATTTAATTTAGGAAATCAATGCGACCCCTTTGGCTCGACAGCAGCACCAGAATGCATTCCACAGGCAGGAACGCCATGAAAACTGGGTTTCATAGATGAGTGAATCCTGGGTTGCAAGCTGCGTGACCTTGGCTGTTAAAAATCAAATTATATGAACAAACAACTGCATGTGTTGGTGCAAGCGGTCAATATTTTTCTGCCTCACGATTATGGTTTGCGTGGGGCTAAGTAAGTGTGGGTGCGCCTAAGAGTAGCTTCTGCAAATGCAACCTGGTGCACCAGCCCCGCAAAAAGATGGGACCCAACCAAGCTTGCGTACTTACTGTCCATCATACCTCCTTTCTGCAGGCATTTGCGCGGTCACATTATCTGACGCTACAAGTCAAGTCATTCTAATCTTACTAAGTCTGTATGATCAATATGTCTTCCCGAAATGAGTTCAAGTACAGAGCATCAATCGTGAGATTTCTGGTCCGTGCTGCCATGCCATACCAGGTGCAATTTGCAGCTTGAGAAACTCAGTGACGGCGCAGCGACCGCCTCGCCGAAGACAGGTTTCACAGGTCTCATCTGGGGCTGACTAATATTTCAAGTCAATGCAGCCGGCTCCAAGAAGATCTATAAAGCAAACCACAGCGAACTCTGAGCATATAATTATTAATATAATTGCGTCTTTGAACATGTTTATCCTTTCACTTCGCTGAATGGGCAACTTGGGTCACTTTGGTCGCAATCCGTTTGCAAATACAGAAATCGATTTGCAAAGCAACAAAGCAACATCCAGCAAGCACAACAAACCCTCCTTCCAATGTAGGAGTGATATTGAAACTAATCCAACTGTCACTTGAAATTGATTCCATATCAGTCTATATATATATATCCCATTACATCATGGTAAATCCATTTAAATCCTCATTTTCAATATTTTGTCCGATGGAATCTCCATTTTTGCCATTTGGGCCGCAACCGGTTGTTCACTCCCGCCTGGCAGTACTGATCCGTGTCCTGGCTCGGTTGTCCTGCCATGGCTAGGAGACGGAAAAAACCACGGAAGGGGAAAATGAGAACTTATCCCATTGTTATCAATATATTGTCAATATAGTTATCCCACTATTATTATTATTATTCATATTATAGCAATGAGATTATCCAGACATCACATGAGCGATCGGCAAAACCTCAATTGAAAAATGCGATCTCGGGTCAAAGTTATCGTTTTACAGTATATCCTGATTGCATCATTTGCATCCCCTGGCAAACTGCGTGCGGAAAGCCTTTTTACACCTCCACTTCAGCGTCTGAAGCATGTTGGAAGAAGTCTGGATGAGCTCTCACAGCGACATGCTCCATGCCTTTCATTCATTCCCCAGCGTCTGGGTAGCAAACCATCACCATGGTCCAATGCTTTTGCCTTGGCTATCTTCATCTAGGAGAAAGATCGCCAAACCGGACCTGCAGGTGCAGGTGTGCCGGTGTGCCCGAGATGAACCAGGATTGACTAAAGCAATGGGGCGCCGCAAAAGAATATGCATAGCAGCGAAAAGATCGCAATAAGCAAGTGATAATATTCAACGGCAAAGAATCATCTCAAGAATCTTGTCGCATCTGGGCCATCCATCAGCGAAGGACATTTTGTCAAGACATGGTTATCGTTTAGTTATCGTTTTCGTTATCGTTCAAAGAGGGAAACATTTTTGGAAAATGGCATGAACCAAGGAATGTTGGAAAGGAGGCTTGTTGTCATCGTCAATGCTTGCATGAAAGCGGGAGAATACAAAACGCTCATCCGGAAGGCTTGAACAATGGCGAGACAAAAAGAGCATCCAAATCCAGCTAGTTACCACATACTGTAGCAATACGTGCTTGGATACAAAACTGTTTACAATAATCAGAAATAAAGAAATTGGCCAGGATCAAGAGTGTCAGCATACTTTTGCACATCTTCCGTTGTGTGAGCTGGTCATGACGTATACCCCACAACTGAGAGCCTAGATGATCTAGATGCTTCTAGAACAGGTGTCCACCATCATGTCATGTACACCACCCCTTCACTTCCCACAATGCTTTTACATATAATATGATTCCCAGGTTATCGTTTTTGGGACTTCACTATATCGTTTTACATATCAAGATGCATATTTTTACATACGAGAGCGCTCGAATACATACCTCCTACACGGAGAGTTTAGCCTCTTGCTCACATAATTTTTCAATTTGGGTCATAGTATCATTGCTATCAATAATTTTCAATATGATAGTTCTCAATGATATCAATATCAATAGATAGCAATAGGCATCAATAGAGATATGATATCAATAGTGCACCATCCAATGTAGCCACAGGGCAGGTAAAACGGGCTGAAGGGATCAGCACAAAAAAGGTGCAGCAATGGCAAGATTCATGGCAATCAACATCAGTTACAGTAGATGCAATGAGTTGTAATTAGTATTACAATGTATTATACTATGAATTACTATGGAGTTATACTTATAGTATCATAATTGTATTATATAATATACTTATATACATTTATGCATATACTATGATCATCTATGATATATCATATACGGGGTACTGAAACAATCGTGAAAAAAATGCTGCCTCAACCACTGCCTAGGTGGGTGACTAATTGAACTGATTGAACTCTGTGCCAGCACCACCACTGACGCAGACCGAAAGGCTGAAGCGGCTGAAGCGGCTGAAGCACCTGTCAGCGCTGCAAGTATTTGGCTTCGGTTTCATCAAGACCATTGACACACGCTTCAGATCTCTTGGGTATTCATCGAAACAGCGCGTTGCATTGTGTGAAAGCGGCAAACTCCCATCACTGCCCGAATTGCAGGCCAGAACGCATTACTTCTCATTACTTATCTGTTTCTTGCTCGCAGCCAATTGCCTCCTCGAGTCTCATGGTGCGAACACAGATCCATTTATCTGCGTGACGCACTTCGTTCACGTTGCCAGTACCAACAACCCATGCTCCTTCATTGACCACAGCAACCCCGATGTTTGTGAAAGCAATAAACTAAGAACATCAAAACGAGAACCTGAACAAGAATCTTGAACTATGAGTGATGCATGACCAAGGTCATTTTGAAAAATTTTGTGCTGTATGCGCTGGGTCATTGGAGCGTTGTCAGCTATGACAGCTCTGTCCTTTTTGTGCTGTGCTGTCCGATATGATCCATATTCCGCTCCTTCGAGTGCGGTCCATCGGTGTCCCATTGCAGGCCTGTGCCCTCTTGTTCTGCTCCCGAGGCACGATAGAGGATCAACCGCAGCTGAGCACATGAAAATCGTGATGCAACCTGCCCCCAGTCTTATTCATCAGTAGGGATGAATCGTGGGAGATTTTCCAATCCGCTCTCCGAGCGGATCAAACTTATCGTACGTAGGAAAGTGTGACGGTCATGCAGCCATTTGCAATGGAGATTCTCTTCTGAGCTTTTGATTTCTGATCACAGATTCATGCCAAAAACATACCGAAATGGACATGGATGCAAATAAGATCAAATAAATTCAAATAAGGGATAATAAGGGCATATTATGAATTAAGATTGAATTAAGTAGACCAAAGGTCTGATCCCGACGAAGTGTGAGACGAATAGGCATCTCATTCCATTTCTCTAGCATTTTTGACAAGGTTTGGAATCCCAATGTCTCAACAAATGGCTTCAGACTGCATCTAGATTTGGAGCCGATCCCATGAGGCTCAGGGTCTATGCAGCCACGCGCAGGATCAGAAACGGCGCCCACGTCGCTCGTCTCGTCTCCGCGGCAGGGCTCTGCTAGTCTGAATGTGCCCCCACTGCACATGCTAAACTTTGCTAAACTACCGGGAGAAATGAAGAATGAAGAGTCTGAAATCTGAAATCCTGGGAGCCAGGCATTGGACCAGGAAGTCTATGTATCAAGCCATCAGATTCAGTCTGTACGATCCCAATGTACAGACATCCGGAGGCTATGAAGGTGAAGCTTGGGTCAGTGCAGGCCTCTTCCAGAGAAATCAAAAGCAAATGGAACATGATAGAAACAAAGATGCACTGAATGAAGGGTGTTTGTCACAGCTTAGTAATCAAACAAACAGGCACATCAGCCACGTAGTTATGCATAGATTCATACCGTTCATTTCATGAATCAATCTTCACCATGTGTTTTGATCATGAAAAAGGTTCGTGATGGTTCTTC